ACCTGAATTCACCTGAAATAGTTTTGCAATAACTTACAGCTTCAGCAAATGAAGTAGACATGGCTTGACTAAGTCACAAAAATGCAAGTAATTGGCAAAAAAAGATCAAAAAAGGCAAAGCAAAGCAGCCTTAATGTGGAGGGTGCAGTGACATTCAGCTTTGGGGCTGCCTGATAACATTAATACTGATAAAGAACAAAAGCCTGACAAGTGTAATCCTGATACTTTCCTTTGTGTGATTCCTTTGAGGATTACTCAGCAATTAAAGATTTCTAACAGTCTTACATTTCAAAAGGACAATGTTCCAATCCCCTAAGGAAATCATCATAAGCCATTTACAGATTCTTCTTGGGTTTCAACTTTTTAGAGAGAAAAAAGCTGTGGACATTTAGCTGTCTTAATTGGATGAACAGCTTAACATCTGAAAACATTTTCAGTATCTGTTATTTCTAGAATGTTAAGCATGATTTCCTCTCCAGCAGGACCAGTGTGAGCTGCACTGGCAGCTGAGGGCTCCTTTTCTGCCATTTATCACTCGTGCTGCCCTGTGCTACAAGAAAGTGTCAGTGAACAAAGGCCTTTCTGCACTGATTTTGCTACTTCATTAACCAAAAGTGGCTGGGTGTAGTTCTACTAATAAAAGGGACATTCTGGTTATTAAAGAGAAACAGAAAATATCTTGAATTAATCAAAACATCACTGCAACTTCCCCCCTCAGTAGGTATTTTTGAAAGCTGACTGGTTTCTGGTCAGACACTGCAGACAGGGAGGTGGTTACCAGTAAGCCCAGCTCTACACCACCCAAGAGCCCAGCTTGGAAAATCCTGTGAGTTCACAGCTCTTGCTGAGGCCCCTGAGAACCAACCACAGCCATTCCCCAGAACTCAATCTAGACAAAGTGCTGACTTGCATAAAAAGCTCATTGCACAGAAGGTTCCATCGCCTGCAGGTATTTGAAAGGTGAGGTGTACAAATAACTTTAATTCAGCAGGAGATTATTATGGCTCTGTTGGGTTTGCTCCCTTCTCCTCACCCACAACTGTCCTTCCAACAATGCTAAAAGCAAAACAATACCCGCCTCAACAGAGGCTTGGAGTTGTGACCCTGTGTTGTGACAACCTACAAACCACTGAATAACTGCCCAGCAGTGCCAGGGCAACACTGAATGTCAGAGCCTGGGCCTGTTCACCTGCTATCAACAGGAATAATAAATGAACGAAAAGGAATCCTCCTTCTCAGACAACAAATGAGATCAAGAGAACAACAGTAAAAAATACCATTTCCAGCAGTTAACTGAGATCAGAAATAGAGCAGCAACATCAAGAAAAGAAAGGAGAGAAGCACTTTAAACAAGTAACTTAGTGAAGAGAAGCCCTTTCACTTTATCAACACACAGTGGGCTTCTCTGACCTCCTCTGGGGTCACCTGGGCATGGCAGAAGTGACACTAGAAGAGTGACCCTTCAGCTCCCAGAATGGTTTCATAAAATTCAATTTTCCACATTTTTCCACAAGTGCCTCTGTAGCAACAACGCCACCAAATTAAAAGATTCCCCCCAAAAGGGGTCTAAATCATAGTCTCTAGAAAGCAGGACTTCTGTCAACTGCATTTAACCAGGGAGGGAATTGTTTAACAGATTCGTCACTGTCATTTAAAAATTACTTGGAAGTTTTTCAATCAAGTTTTTGCTTGTCTGGACCAGACACAGTGACTGGAGTCAACCATGAACTGGGCCATTCATCCAAAAAGGCTCCCAGGGAGTCAGGATCCTCTTCCCCTGCCATAACTGTTCTCATCCTCGTCAGCTCTCCAAGGAACTACACAGGGAATGCAAACTTCAGTTTCTAGTCAGTTCTTCTCCCCCTGAACCAACAGACCTCAGGAACAGATGCCATTGAGTCAGTACAAGGAACAAAACCAGTCGAGCCCCAGGTTTAGCCCTGGGAGTGCAGGCACATGCTGGAAAATTACCAGCTCGTCTGAAACCCTCCATCTCTCAGGGCTTTTCTTCCAAAATAAAGGGCAGAGCCTTGTCTCTTGTGCAAATGACACGTGGCATTTTAAACGTTCTGACATAAAGGCAGGAAACAAAAATACAAAACATATAAAATCGACTACAAAACTCTTGTATGTTGTCAGTGCCCACAATTATGGATGACATGGGAAGGTCTTACAGGGGTTCAGGGAGGAACAAGCCACCAGTTGACCAAAGTACCAATTACCAACACCAACTGCTGATTTCATTCCCTGCAAGCACCTTAATTATGTTAATCTCAGGGGAAAACAAAAACCAGCCCTGCAGCAGGCTTTTAAAGGTTTATAGCAGATTCTGCAGAAGGGGGTGAACAAATCTTTTTAAAATGAAAAATATCATTTTCCTAATGCCCTCTGCAAAGGATGGCTGCATTAATCCTGGCAGTCTCCACACGTCCTCCCCCATGTTTTCCAAAGGCAGCCAGAGCACTGAGACTCGTTCAACAAATGGCACCATGAGTCAGTGGGGCTGGAGCTGTGGGTAGGAAGGAGATGACGCCGTCCATGGAGGCACAAAAGTCTTCAATATGATTCATGTCACAACATGGATCCAAACAAGTGACTTATGGTTTAGGCACAAACTAAAAGGGTATTTCTGTGTCCATGCCAAGGGACTCGCCAGCAAACGTGGCACGTTCCAACAGCAAACACAGCCCAGTCCATCCACCAAATCCACCTCCTCCTTCCTCAACACTTGGGCCAGCGTGGAATGTTACACCAAATCCAGCAGCAGTCCTTGTACAGGGAGGTAAAGTTCAGACCACATCATGGAATCACAGACTGCTTTGGGTTGAAAGAGACCTTAAAGATCATCTTGTTCCACCCCCTGCCATGGGCAGGGACACCTTCCACTAGCCCAGGTTGCTGCAACCTGGCCTTGGACACTTCCAGGGATGGGGCAGCCACAGCTTCTCTGGGCAACCTGTGCCAAGGGCTCCCCTCCCTAAACACCATATGCTCCACTGTCACTCAGAACTACTTTCAGAAAGTAGAACAGCTCTGTTTTTAACCTGGAGTTCTGCAAAACTCCAGGAGCTTGACAGTGAAGCTGCAGATCACCACAGGCGAAGGAAAAGCAGGGGAAGGAGCAGGAGAATGCCTGTATGTGTCAAACCTGACAAACCCCTGTTCCCACACTAAAAGGCCTCATACCAGCATGATTAGTCACAAAAGATCGCAGCTTTTGTTCCTGTCACACCGTGTCATTTTACCTTTAATGAGATATCCCCCAAAAAAAGAAAAATCAAATAAAATTTGTGAGTGTTCCTAGAATGTTCCAGAATGGACCTGCTCCTCCAAACACGATCCCAAGCCAACCTAACCCCTCAGCCAGAGCAGCACTGAGCTTGGGAAGAGATCCTTAAATACTGTCCACATAGAACTCAACAAATATTGTGCAACCACCAGCCCAACCCACCTCTGTCTTCTTCTGGGACCATCACTAGAACTGCCTCATGTTCTCTCTACAGTCCCTTCCCAATGACAGGCAATTTATTTTAAGTTATTACACAGGTGAAAACGAGCTGTGAACACACAGTGAACAGGCACAGAAACTTCACCCTCCTCACAATAAAGCTTTTTACTTGTCTCAAGATAAACAAGTCAGATATTAGGTCAGTTCCCAGTCTCTCAGTACCCCAGACCTTTGTCACAAACATTTTCTGATACAGGCACTGTTCTGGGACCCACCTGCCATCAGACAAGCAGGTGTCCCCTGCTGATGGTGTTTTCCTGCCACAGAGAGAGTCCTACATCACAGACACAGCCCATGAGCAGGGAAAGAGGGAAGGAGAACCTCTTACACCAGTGGGAAACACTCAACTGCTGGATGCTGCCACTTTCAAAACCATCTCCTTCTGCAATCAGCACAGTCCTGGATCAGCTCTCTGAAGTGAGACAGCCTTGGATTCCTCCTTCCCCTTCGTTTCTACAGAAAAGAATTTCTTCCCATAGAACTAATCCCAATTCTTGTGTTTTCTGGCTTCAGAGCTATGCTAATTCTGGCTATAAACAGATACACATTCAGTATTTAGTTTTCAGCTCAAAAGGCAAAAGGGGGCCTGAACAACAATCTCAGAACTTCAGAAACCTTCTAATTTTAAATATAACAATCAAACAAGCCGCACATATTTGTGATGTCAGACTCCTATTTCTGTTGTTAACTAGGTCTGAGAAACAAAAAAATGAACATAGAGAAATTCAACGTGGATAAATACCACAATTTTGAAATCAACAGTTGCTTTAATAATGATAATAATTACACACTCCCTGAAAAACCTGACTGAGCTTTGAAGCCAGCTCTGCCAACTCTGAGGAGGTTGGATTAGACACTTCCAGGGGGGCTCAGCCAGACTGAATCTTCCTGTGGCACTACATTTATCCAAATCCCCATTTAGAGCACATTCCTGCAATTCTCCCTGACCTGTTCTCACAGGCTGCACACCTTTCACTGGCAAAGAAAATAACCCACAGCACAGAAGAGCCTTGGGCAGGGCCCTGGGGTCTATGGGGCTTGTAGGTTGTATGAGGCCTTTGAAGCCTATGGGGCATATGGGACCTATGGATGGTGCCTATAGAGCCTTTGAAGTCTATGGGGAATATGTGGCCAACGTGGACTATGGGGCCTCTGGGGTTTATGAGGTCTGTGAGGCCTTTGGGGCCCATGTGGCTTATAGGGCCTAGGGGGCCTATGGGACATATAGGGCATATGTGGCCCATAGGGCCCATGTGGCCTTCTGGTTTGGTTATGACCTTTTTTTGTTTCCTCTTTCTTTTCAGACCAAGTCCAATATCTCCATTCATTAATTACTACACAAAGTTTCCAAGTAGAAAGGATTTTCCACGTTTTGAACTTGTGCAAGCCCTTAACAAGACGAACAACTGATCAGAGCACGACTGTGTTTGTTCAGTGTGGAGTCAATCCCAATTTCTCGGCTGAGCAGTTCGGTTGTGACCCTCCCTCTTACCACTCCAATCAAGTCCCCTCGGCCGTATTCCCCAGTCAGGTGCTTTTTCCCATCTTCCATCCGGATGACGGAGCGAAGGCGCCCGTTCAACACGATGTACGTGCAGTCAGACTTGTCCCCCTGCCTGCAGAAAGGATCAATAACCAGGATTAGCGAAGCATCTCCGCTCAGCAAATGCATCTGGAGCCTTTGAATAGGTTGATTTTCCCTCCCTGGCTTAGAGGACACAGGAAAGGGTTTAACTGAGACTTAAAACTTAACAAGTAAACAAGAAATGGAACAGGCACCTGTTAAAAGGTGACCTGGAAATATGTTTAATGTTTAAATGTGCAGGCTGTGCACAACTGCTTGAGGACAAGCCAAAGGAGAATGGCTTTAAACTCAAACAGAGTAATTTAGATTGGATATTAGGAATAAATTCTTGCCTGTGAGGGTGGGGAGGCCCTGGCACAGGTTGCCCAGAGAAGCTGTGGCTGCCCCATCCCTGGAAGTGTCCAAGGCCAGGTTGGACAGGGCTTGGAGCAACCTGGGCTGGTGGAAGGTGTCAGGGGGGTTGGATCCAGACAATCCTTAAGGTCCCTTCCACCCCAAACCATTCTGAGTCCATGATAGGTCTGGATGTGGATGACCAGGATGCACAGGGCCCCCAGGGGAGACAACATTGCTGGGTACACAGGAGCTTGTTCCCACTGCAAGGGCAATGTGGACGTGCAGAGAAAATGTGCAGGTCAAAGAGCAAACTCCCAAGTGGCTCCAGATTTGGGTTCCTTTTGGTGCACACACCTCAGCCTAGCAGGAAGCTTTTGCTATATTTAGTTGGCATGATTAGGAGTTGTGTCTGGAATGCTGATTCTTCTGGTGGCGGAGTTAAAACTAATGAAGGAATTCCGAAAGGTTTTAACAAGATATTGACAGCTATGAATGCTCTGATGCACAGAGTAATCCAAAACTTCCATTAGCTTTGCTGCTGCAGGTATAACAATAACAACTACAGTTGCAATTACACAGATCAAGGACTAAATTGGACCCTTATTCTCCCACCACTGCAGCAACCATGTAACAGCTCAATTGCATCCTGGTATAGATCGTTAAAACTACGTTTTCCCAAGGTAACTTTTGCTCCTTAAACACAAATTTCCTGTTTTCAATTTACTACAGAATAAGCCTAACTGAATTACCTTTGAGTTTTGCTGTTTAGTTTAGAAAGGCTGAAAAACTCCTTGTGCAATAGATGTTCATGCTCTTAACAATGCAGAAACCACCACCAGAACATACAACTGTCTGTGTCTTAATCAATTATGTCACTTTAAAAGCTTGCCACAACAACAGAAAGGATGAGGAATAGTATGAAATAATTTAGTAACACCTGGAGACAAGAGACTGAAGCAATGCTGAAGGTACTGCAGAAAGAAAATTATCTTAAAATAGGCAGATAAAACCTGATGGAATGGTTGATAAATATAGTGCAATGGGTTTCTCATTCTACACATCACCAAGGGAGCACAGCTCATTAACCAGGAAAACTTCAAACACACAATTTAGTCCCCATCTCACCTGTAAACAGCTCGTCCAGCCTCCACCTCCATCCAGTCCAGGGCAAAGTCAATTTGCCTGACAAAGGGGGACATTCTCTTCACAACAGTGTGGGCCACCCCAAGGACCACACTGGGCTGCTCCCGCATGATCCTGGAGGGAAAAGGAAAGGGTTATTCCAGTGCTTCCAAAACAGGAATAGGTGCACACAGGTAACAACACCCCAGTGCAGCAGAAATTCCAAAAGTAGTACAGACCCATAGGCACACTCCACTGCTGCCATCACAGCAGTGATTCTTTGACAAAGGATGGGCTGGCCAGCCTGCCAAGCCAGCCCAAACTAAATGTCTCTCAGAGGTGGGAAGATGCTGGCCAGTCCTGCTGGCCGGCCCAATTCCCTTTTCCAAGGGCAGTGGGATGGATGGAACCATGTGAGCTCTCGTCTATGAGCCACCCTCCTCACCTCCCCATCACCCAGGTCTCTCATGGCTCAGGGAAATGTTCATACTGTCCCCAAGATGATCCCTCCCTGCCCTTCTCACAGCTCACAGCTTCCCCCCAATATCAGATCAGAATCTCTTTATATGTCAAGTCTGATGCTCTTAAAAATAAAAGACCTGCTCTGAATTTCAAATGTTCCCTTTTCCCTGTTGCAAAGACCACAAAGAACTGAAACACCTTCTAATAAAGCTCCTGATCTTCACACTGAATCTTTTGAGTCACGCTTAAAAGTCTCTAGTAATAAAGATATCATGTAATTCAATACTTTCCTCAAACTGAAAAACTTTGAGAAGGTTCTGCCAGGATAAGTGCAAACTTCAGAGTGACTGTGAGGCCCAGGGGAAATCACTCTCACAGACACCTGGGAACTGCTCAGGAATGTCTTATTTCTCGTTCTTTTTAGACTAAAGATCACTACATCCTGTCACTGTGTGAGAGAGCACTGCAATTCTTCCTGAATCATTCCACAGGACCACACACAGGTTAGGGTGTTCTACCTGTTTAGGGCAACTTATCTTTCCTGTTCCTGCACAGCATCAAGAGCAGCTGATGACAGATCACTAAAAAACAGCTATTCCACAAGAGATAGGATGATTCACAGAGAAGGAGGTGTGTGTCTGCACCAATTGCACACAGAGAGATGAGGGAGCTCTGAGAAACCCCTCATGGACAGAAACAAAGAGGAAAAAATGATAAATCACAGAACAGCCTGGGTTGGAAGGGCCAAGGGCCAAAGATCATCTCACTCCAGCCCCTGCCATGGGAAGGGACACCTTCCACTAGCCCAGGTTGCTCCAAGCCCTGTCCAACCTGGCCTTGGACACTTCCAGGGATGGGGCAGCCACAGCTTCTCTGGGCAACCTGGGCCAGGGCCTCCCCACCCTCACAGGGAACAATTTCTTCCCAACATCCCATCTAACTCTGCCCTCTGGCAGTGGGAAGCCATTCCCCCTTGTCCTCTTCCTCCAGACCACTGTAAATAGTCTCTCTCCATCTTTCCTGTTGGCTCCTTCAGGCACTGGAAAGCCACAATTGGGTCACCCCGAAGCTTCTCTTCTCCAAGCTGATCACCCCCAGCTCTCCCAACCTTTCCTCCATTCCTGTGATCATGTTGGTGCCTCCTCTGGACTCTCTCCAGCAGCTCCATGTCCTTGCTGTGCTGTTCCCCAGGGCTGGAGCAGCTCTGCAGGGGGGTCTCACCTGAGGGGCAGAGGGGCAGAATCCCCCCTGTCCTGCTGCCCACGCTGGGGGATCAGCCCAGGGCACGGGGGGGTTTCTGGGCTGGGTCATGTCCAGTCTGTCCCCCACCAGCACCCCCAGGGCCTTCTCCCAGGGCTGCTCCATCTGTCCACCCCCAGCCTGGATTGATCCTGGGGCTGCCCCAACTCAGGGGCAGCACCAGCACTTGGCCCTGTTGAACCTCATGAGGTTACTGGCAGGATCAGAGCAAGTCCGAGCAGAGCTCCCTAATCCAAGAGTGTGATAGCAAAAGCAGACTCAGCAGGAGCTCTGCACTGCCGGGGTGTGGCACAGAGACTGCCCTGTAGTTTCTAAAACATCAGGTGCCTCCTTCATTAGTCCCATTGCTGCAGCTGGCAGGGGCTGTGGGGCAGTGCAGCACACAGGGAGCTTTCATGGATACCTGCTCTCCTCCCCCTGGGCCTCCAATTACTGCTTTTCACGGTAATGAAGCTTGTAATTTCTTCAGCCAAAATCCCTGAAACTGAGAGGCAGAGATCCTTAGCACAGATCCCTGCCCCAGATTGAGCTCATCACACTCACATGTGCTACGAGGTAAATTAAACTGAACACCACCTCTTACATTTGGCACTCCTGAAAATCCAGCCAGCAAACAGCATGACCCAAAAGTAGGACAGCTTTTCTCTCCTGACCCTCTTCTCTTGCCCTGATTTTTCCATGCCTTCCAACCATCTCCTGCCCAAGATACATACAGACACATGGAAAACACTCAGCCCTATCCCCCCTTTTCAGCTGGTTCAAAAGTTAAATAAAGCCCCTAGAAACTCCAGAATGGTTAGCTCATTGGTTTTACTCCACTTGCTTATTTAGCCCTCAGTCTCCTCCCACACAGGCTGTCTGCTGTCGTCAATAAAAGCCATTTACTCTTTCCCTCCCCCAGGACATGTATCTTAATACTTAATGCATTCAAGATGTAAACTACTAACAGGCTGCTTTTATTTCCACATGGAGCTCTCTGTTATCTCCCTCAGTTCTCTACAAGAGAATTAGGACAGAAGGTAAAACCCACCCATATGCAAGAGAAGAGGAAAGCAGATTTTTTCCCTCATTATCAGCCAGGTTTTTTTCCTTTCACGTGGGCATTTGTGCTCTTCTGCTTGGCACATGCCTGGCAATGAGAAAATTAAAATCCAAAGCTCTGTACTACAGCAAGTTGTTTCTGAAGGGACCCTGAGGATTCTTTATTAGAGAGCTCACCAAATACAGCAATGAAAGGACTAAACCAGTTTCTGGGGAAGCCTGGGACTTACACAGATATAACTGTGGATGTGGCTGCAAACTGATATTCAGCTTGGCTGGCAAGACCAAACAAAAATCAAAGCACTCCTGCTTCTCTGGCAAGTGCTCATGATTAGGCCTCCAACTCATGACATGTACTGAGGCAGAGGGTGTGAGAGAGCCCCTGGTCCTGCAGAACCTGCCCCTGGTGACAACGTGATTGCCCCCCCAGCCCCAGCGTGGGCACTGCCCAGAGAGCAGCAGTTCAGCCCAGCACTGCAGGGGTGTGCTGTGCCATTAGCCTGGGTCACCCTGGATACACCAAATCATCAGCCTGTGCCACCCCACACTTACACTCTGCAGTACAGGCAGTTATTGAGTCGTGGCAGCACCACGGAAAAGTGCCCCCGAGTTCCAGTGGAAAGGATTTAATCTGTTGTCCAACATCCACCCTGCAATTCTGCACCCCGGGCTCCTTCCATTACTGAGCTCTCTGCCTAATGGCAACTATTGACCATGTGCTTTCTGCTTCACCCTGTCATTAATTATTGAGAAAAAACACCAAGTGTTCCAGCACAGCGAGAAAGGAAGAGAGGAGTATATGTAACAGGAAAGGAAAAATGGAATTTTGGGGAATAATGGAGATTCTTGTCAAACTTCTTCTAATCTGTAACTTAAGATAAATATAAACAAATTAAAAAAAAAAATAACTCCTGTGAGATTCCAAGCAAAGGAGAAAGCCAAACATTGTGGGGCTATGAGCACAGAATTTGGCATAAAAATGGAAAATAAAACTTCTATCTAGTTTTATCAGCAAGTGTTTCTTTCTCAGAGAGTTCAAAGCAAAAACAAACCAACCTGATGCTTTTCAAAGCCTTTCTCCAATGACACTTAAATATGGGCACAGGAGTTAGAAGTGCCATAAAGTCTGAGGTTCAGGACAAATTGTGAAGATGAAACACTGGAATATCAAAAAGAGCTTGTAAAATGCAGAGAACAGGCAACAGACTCTAAAGGAGGAAAAAAAAGATTTGGAAAGGTCCCAAAAATGATGAAGACGCAATACACTGATGGGTTCTTAAGCACTGACTGGTAAGGGGTTAATGGAAGCAAAAAGATGGAATAAACAAGAGATAAGTCAGTTCTTGAGAGAGAAGAGAAAACTCAGGAAAATGAGCCTCAGCAACTGAGAGAAATAACCCAGCCCTGAATATCAAAACAAACAAAAGAAACAGAGGAGGAAAAGGTGGAATCTGCCTGCTTGGCTGAGACAACAAAATGAAATTTCAAGTCAGGAACAAGTAGGAAAACAACAGTAGCAAAAGACAGCCAGAAAAAGCAGGCATTAAAAGAATGGGCTGATATTGCATGGAATGGCACAAGTGGGAAGCATCCATCAGAAATTAGGCCACAGAGTAGACATCCACCCCACAGACTGGGAAAAACACAGCTCCAAGCACATGCTGAGCACAGCACGTTCATTCCACAGCATAACAGCCTCTTGCCTGAGGTGGGAAAACCAAAATCCCACAGTAAGATTCTGGGGTAGAGTTGATTAGGAATACAAACAAGCAGAATTATTTAAGAAGCAAGAACTATGTAGGAATATACAACGTAACAGTGGCCTAGAAAAGACAACAACCCCAAAAAGTCCTACATAGGACTGATGGCACATTCCAGCAGAAGCTGAAAAAGAAGTTTGGAAAAGGAAATAGAGGTATTTGAGACAAATTGTGCGTGTGAAATAATAGTAACTCTAAACAATAGGAATGTGGAATAAATCAAAGGCTTTAATCATTATTATTGGCAACAAGGCTAACCACAGTCATCATATTGAGTTTTCAATTAAGAAATACCTATACCTCCCTTTAAGCATTAAGTCCCAAGTCATGTGCTACTTCCAAGGCCCAGGAAGGAACCTGTCTTCACTGGGGCATTACTGTTTGACCTATTCTATTAGTGAGCATTGAAAACCCACAATTACACCCAGACCACTCATAACACACCCAACAGCCTGGGCTGTGTTAGGGAATAGAACTGGGGAAGTTTTCCAGCAAAAAGAACTAATGAATCCAAGAGAAAGGGCCTGACAAAGCAGCACTTAACCCAGCAAAGCCCAGGCTCTGGCCAGATTCTCTTATTTGGGTTATGAAGTATGTGAATCTTGGGTCATAATTCCCACCCCAATGAGTTAAGTGCTCTAGAGACCTTCAACAAAGGAGATGTCACCATTTAATATTCCCATGTTCTCTTCTTGCTGGAGATAAAGCCACCTGACAGATGGATAAATCCCTCCTGTAAGCTCTGGGATTGCTGTGGGATGTACTTTAGCAGCACTACCTTACACAGACACCCACCACTCACGTTCAGAATCATGGAATCATCAAGGTTGGAAAGGACCTCCAGGATCATCCAGTCCAACATTTGACTGAATACCTCCATGCCCAGTAAACCATACCACAAAGTGCCACATGTACATATTTTTTTGAATACTTCCAGGGATGGGGCAGCCCATGCCAGTGCCCGACCACCCTCTCAGTGAAGAAATTTTCCCTAATATCCAATGTAAACCTTCTCTGGCCATTTCCTCTCCTCCTGTCCCTTGTTCCCTGGGAGCAGAGCCCGACCCCCCCCGGCTCCCCCCTCCTGTCAGGGGGTTGCAGAGCCAGAAGGTCCCCCCTGAGCCTCCTTTTCTCCAGGCTGAGCCCCCCCAGCTCCCTCAGCTGCTCCTGCTGCTCCAGCCCCTTTCCCAGCTCCGTTCCCTTCCCTGGACATGCTCCAGCCCCTCCATGTCTCTCCTGTCATGAGGGGTCCAGAACTGCCCCCAGGACTTGAGGAGTGACCTCACCAGTGCTCAGCACAGGGGGACAGTCACTGCCCTGCTCCTTCATTCAAAAGGGCCATAAAAAATTTAAAAAGTACTTTAAAAAAAAAAAATCACTACGTGTTTTAATGGCAGAACTCACTCATAGAAATGGGACTTGGAAATGGACAGGAAGCTGCAGTCTCTGTTGGCCTTGATGGTGAAGATCAGTGGCTCCCCAGTGAGCACGGCGAGCTGGCCCACGAGCTCCCCAGGGTGGGTTATGAAGAGACAAGTGTCCTCCTCAGAGTCAATCTTCCTCTGGTACACATGAAGCATCCCCGAGACCACAAAGCAAACATTAACATCCTGCAGCAAACGGAAAAAAAGAGCTCAATAAAATCCCCACAAGATTTTAAAAGCAATTATCACACTGACAGCGCTATCACGACCGATCTGTTTTTCAGAAAGCTCCCTATGGTTTTTTGAACAATTAGGTGATAAAATAAGACACAATAGTGAATTATTAAAAGCTGGTTATGAATATTTAAAACTAAGCAGCCACAATATTGAAAAATGTGTTTCTCTTTGGGTGGTTATGAAAAATGAAGGCTGCATCTGCAAGATCTCAAGGAATAAGGACAGAATTGGGAGTGGAGGAGATAACGGGGAGTCACAGCAGCAGGATGAGGGGCATCAGGGGTCAGCAGAGCAGAACCCAGCAGTGCTGGAATTGGAGCTGCCTCTCATCTGCTTTGCATAAACTTATTTATTTACACAGTATTATCATAAATACAGCTCATTATATCCTAAATACTTTGCTATAAACAAGCAACACAATTGATGTTGGGGGGGAGTGGGGGGAGAAATACTTTACTGCAATACTTTACTGAAATACTTTACTGAGTGACATCCCCAAAAGCCCTCAGTGCAGGGCATGAAAAAAGGTTTCCCAGACTTCACAGCTCCTGGGGAAGGACAGAGGTGGGATATTCCACCCCTTGTCATGAGGTACATCAGAGCTGACAACACAGACACCAGACTCCCACTCCGGCTCTGTGGGAGGGAGCGTGTGGGAGGGCTGAGAGCCAGGGCTGTTCCACCTCGAGAAGTGACACCTTGGGAGGGGTCAGGTGGGATTTTTTTCTCTATCATCAATGTGTATAAATACTTCACAGGGGAGGGCAGGAACCGAGGCAGGTGCAGGTTCAGGTGGTGCTGACTCACCTGGTCCCCCTGCCTCGACAGCACGGTGCCAGCAGTGACCTGGTGCAGCGTCACTTTGCCGTTCAGCAACGCAGGATTCTGGGGAAAAAGGGGGTGGGAGGCACAATTTACTGCTCTGTGCACAGGGAAAGATCCCAGAATGTGAGGAAGCATACAAATAAAGCAAGTAAGAGTAACTACTGAAGTTACTAAAGACAACGTTATAAGCGTTTGAATCTCTGCAAAATACGGCACATATTTTTGTATTTCTCTACCCAACAGATGTTTCTTCCAGAAGATCTCCACACAGTGATAGGGCTGCTGATGGAAAAAGCCCCAGAGAGACTAGAAAATCAGAAAAAAAGACAGAGAAGCCTAAAAGTGAAGAACAGGCTCATGAAAAAGATAAGGAGAGGGAGAAAAGCAAATAGAAGCATAGAGAACAAGAAAGAAGGTTTGATCCATTTCAATTGATCACATTTGGATTCTTAAGGATTTTCTATTTGTCAGTTTTTCCCTCTGACTCTTTTAATGATCTACAGTGAAGACATCTGTATCAACTGGCATGAAAATCATGAAATATGAAGTTACTTTCAAAGGAAGGTGAAACTAGAGGAGACTTTGTAAATCATGGAGAAATGGGACAAGAAGATGCAACTCCTGCTTTATCCCAGCCCTTCCCTGAACACACAGCTCAGCTGAGCTGTACGTGTGGAGCAGATTTTCACACACACTGTGGAACAAAAGCTTCCTCAAGGTCATGAATTCTTGTGTCCAGGCACATCTGGGTTGCAGAGGAGAGCTGGAATTTCCCTCCCAGCTGAAGAGCACATGGGAAGGAGAGTCATTCCAAAGGCCACCCTCAGTTTGGACTCAACCCCAGCCCCTTGGAATGGCAAGGAGCTGAGCTGGCCGAGTGCAGCACCGGATCCAAAGATTCCCTTCCCACTCCAAAGCCAGTCACCAACATAAGTGGCACCTGAGTGCATAAGTAACTCCCAGTTAACCCAGGTTTTGGGAAGGTGAATTTCTTTATCAGAATCCCAGGCTGGTTTGGATTGGAAGGGACCTTAAAGCTCATCTCCTTCTACCCCCTGCCATGGGCAGGGACACCTTCCACTAGCCCAGGTTGCTCCAACCCCAAATCCAACCTGGCCTTGGACACTTCCAGGGATGGGGCAGCCACAGCTTCTCTGGGCAACCTGTGCCAGGGCCTCACCACGCTTAATAAAGAATTTCTTCCTAATATCTGACCTAACCTTGCCCTCCTTCAGCTTAAGGCCATTCCCCCTTGTCCTATCACTCCATGCCCTTGTCCAAAGTCCCTCTCCAGCCTTCTTACAAACCTTCAGAAGTTCAGCATTTTACCATCACCACCTGAATGGGCTGGGGCAGAAAACAAGGCTCAGTTATGGATTCTTGTGTTCTGCTGAAGCCTGACAGTGCAGTCCTGGCTCTCACAGTTTCTCTGTGTATTTACCTGTGCACAGGGCTTTGCCACACAGGCAGAAGCACTAAAAGCAAGAGCTGCACTCACAGGAAGAACCAATTCAGCACAAGAGCAGAATCTGCCCACAGTCATTAACCTCACTGCAGCAGGAAACCAACAGAGCAGAGATGTAAACACTCCACACTCGTAATTGTTCTGCCAGGTTTGAATTTTGGGGTTGAAAAAAAATAGAGCAAGTGAAATAATCACAATTATTCTTTACACCTACTGCTGATAAAAAGAACATATTTTCATCAGAAAATAGTTTTATTGAAGCCCATCTGTTTCATGGGAACATACCCAATGCAGAGAACCTGACAAGCACCTGTCAAAATATTTCAGTTCAGCAACAGCAACTCAACTAATTTCTATGATTTTTTTCCTCTATTTATCTATTTATGGTTGTATAGTATTACCTAAAGACAAAGTTGTGACTCTGAAAGCACCCCTCAGTAAGGGAATACAAGCTCCCTCATGAGCTCTACTTACCAACAGGATTTTGGGGCTGCACTGGGTCTAACAAAAATCATTGCAAAGATTTTCTTCATGTCTAAGACTACTTAAGTATTGGAATAGATTGCACACTGAGCTGTGAAGCCTCATCACTGGAGATCTTTAAGCACAGCTGAGCCAAAAACCTGCCAGAAATGACTTAGCAATATTTGATTCTGCCTCGGGCATGAGAAGAGCCTCACTGACCTCCAAGCAGACCTTGATATCTTCCTTTTCCCTGCTATTACCACCCCATTAAGCAATAAAAGAGCTGACAAACAAGATCCAGCCTGTCCAGCACCTTCTCTCTTGAATGGGTGAGCCCAGCAAGCCCAGATTCAGCATTGCACAGTTGCAGGGTTTGTGGAAGTAACTCTGCACTGATCCCCTCCAGCCACCAGCTTTTAGGAAAACAAGTCATTACCACAACAAACTCCATTTCCCAGCACGTTTCTTCCTTTGCATTACTGTAACAAATGGTTGCAGCAGGAAACTGGACAAATCAGGGTACAGTATAAATTACAGTAACAAATATAACAAGTAGCAGAGGTTATTTTTGGATAACAAACTAGGAGGGTTTATGACACAGAAGTGAAAATACAAGCCACTTATAAACAATAAGCAAACCCAGTAATTAACTGGGGCAAATAACTAGTTTGTCAAAGGAAATTCCCTTATAACTCACACAGAAGAGAAGCCCTGCAACACTGCTTAATGTCATATCATAACTGCAGACAAAGCTGAAACCATGTAAAAATTGTATGACATTGAAAACCACTTATGACAGATCCAAGGAATTCAAGTTATTTAAAACAAAACAAAAAAAACCCTTTAATTCTGAAGTCAGATACCTAAAAGCCATTTGAAACAACAATGCCTCTCTCCTACAGTCAGTTATCCCCTCCTTTCTCAAAGTATCATGAAAATAACCCAACACCCAAACAACCAAAATACCCCCAAACCTACCACCACCTGTCATCAAAACATCTTTATTTGATTCACTCTGGTTGGCTGCTCTATAAAATGACAATTAAAATGCTTCCAGCCAGCTAAGAAATAAAAGATCTCATTTTTTACCAGACCAGCTTACAGAATTAATTTTCTTCTTTTATGTAAGCAGTGTTGAACACAAATATTTTGCACACAGCAAGATTTTTTCTTCCACTGCCTGCAAAAGAACTTTTACTATCGTGTCTGGAGAAAAAAATTAAACTTTCAATGAGATCTCTGGTATTTGGCTACATCCCATCAGATTCCAATTTGCTTGTGAAAAACTGTAAATTGCTATAATCCCCAAGTTTGAAAATCCTACTTTGTTTCATTGTTATTGAGATCTTCACGTTACAAACACTGCCTATTAGGGGCTGCATTTCAAGGATACTGTTGCAATTAACTTTATCTCTCAACTGCTGCTTGTTAATTACTGAGAAATTTATTCTAGACTTAAAAAAAAACACAAAAGTGCTGTAATCATTTCAATGATCTTGGGATTTCTGCTCATTAATGACAGTTCTATCAAGAACAGGAAGCTGAGCAGAACAGATGAGGGGACCTGGTCCTGGTTCACTCCATCTGCAACAAGAATTCCTTCTAAAATAGTCTGTAGTCTTTCATGGGCATACAAATGCCTGAAAAAACCCTGGAAATTACCCTAAGACAGGTAAGTGTCCTGCAGACAGACCTTAGATCAGCGAGGATGGGGAGCCTCGAGTGTCCCAGCTGGGAGCTGAGACCGTGACAGGGATTCTGAAATCACAAGGGCAATAACTTGGAAATCAGGAGGGAATGTTAAAATCCAAAAGTAAAACCTTTTTGAGTTCTACCAACTGTAGTTTGATGACAGCTCTGGCAGCAGAGGAGGAGGTGCAGCAGCTTTGCCCAGCCCCTGGCAGCACCAGCAGAGTGGAGTTACTGCAGTACAGGCTGGAACAAGCCAGGGATGTCTGTGACTGACTGAGACAGATGCATAATTTTCCCAAACTGTCTGATTAGCTGCATGAACAGCCACAGCTCCATAATGGAATGCAGCTGGAATCACAGGAATGATGGAAACAATCATTTTCATCCCTTCTTCCAACATGAAGGGGCTCAGCAGGGGCTGAGCTCGGGGGTGACTGGGAGGTCACCAGGCACAGGACCCAGCTGGGAAATGCTCCCAGTGCCACTGCCAAGTACAGAGACTCAACTCCAAAACCCAAACAAGCACTTGGATGCTGTGCCAAGAGCATTAATGGATTCAGCAATCACCTGAATGCCTTTACATAACTTCTTCACAACACTATGTGAGAGCACAGAATTAGAAGGTGGCAGAAATTGCACATTTGCTGCTCACAAGGCTAAATCTGCACACAGTGAGAGAAGATTCATGCACTGCATTCCAGCGTGGTCTGGTCAAGTGGCAGAATAATTCAAATTTACTTCAGCCCTTCTAATAACTTCAACAACTATTGAATAAAACATTCCACTCGTCTACGGTACCGGGGAGACAATTTGCTTTTTAGTTCCTGGCAGAGTGAGACAAAATGCAAAAACAAAGCCAGTTCTTCCTGCAATAACTCACATCAAGTTTCATCAGGGTTGAGAGGTCCTTCTTTGCTGCTTCAACGATGGCATCAATATGTTTGGTGTTACAGGAGTCCTGCACTGCACTGTAATGGAAAACTGCTGAAGGAGTCTCTGTCACCGTCACAGTCTTCTTCAATATGGACTGCAAAGAGCAGAAACACAACAAGGATCATTTAAACGTTATAATTGGCACTTACCCAGCCAAAATGTGCCATATCATGTGTTCTCTCTACCCACCACAACTGGTGGTCTGCATAGGAGAAATCTAGGTTTCCAAAAAAGCAACAGCTTGCTAACTTCATTATCCCTGTATTTTTTTCTGACACTCAAGTCAAACAAAGTTACTCATCACAGCTTGTGAAAGGGAAAAACAAGAGACTTTTCAGAAACTGGGCAGCTTGATGGAACTAAAACTTGAACAACACAAAGATGGAGGAAACGAAAAAACGTCTGTCAAGGTCACAGTGAGCAACAATTTCACTTGAAAGTTTAGTCTGCAGTTTCATAATTCAAGAGCATTTTTGTGCTCTTGACTTCCAGGCCTGTATTCATAAAAATCAGACCACAAAAAGGAAAACAGATTTATAAACAGTGACTGTAAACCTCCAGGAAGTTCACAGGCTGATACAAGTTTTTAATTCCTTGCTGCAAAGTACCAATCACAAAAAAAGCATGGTCTGACAAATCCACCTTTCCAAATGATTCATTTCATGAGTGAGGGGAAGGCAATACCTAAAAATCAAGAAGTTGCAGGGGTGCTTTCAGACTGCTCGCCAAGGGAATCTCCAGAGTTTCAAGATCTGCACTAAAAAGCTTTAACAGTCACCAAAATCTACTGAAACAACTATAAGTTAAAAAATACTAATACAAAAAAACCATCCAAGGCCAGGTTGGATGGGGCTTGGAGCAACCTGGGCTAGTGGAAGGTGTCCCTGCCCATGGCAGGGGGTGGCACTGGGCGAGTTTTAAGGTCCCTTCTAACCCAAGCCAGTCTGACTCTGTAAGACCAGATATCCCAACTCCTACAGAGGTGCAAGGGCAGCGTTTCAAAGGCAGAAAACACTGGAATCCCTCCAAGAATAATGATGTACAAGGCCAGGAACAGGGTGGACTCCCAGGGGATCAGACAGACCCACCTTGGCCGTGCCGGGGCTGCCAGCAGTGTCCTCTGGGCTCAGGTGCACCCGGGCCCTCTCGTAGGCCATGTCCATGTCAGACTTGGCACCGCTGGAATTATCTGAAAACAACGGGAAAATCTTGGTTTAAGCACCTCCTTTATTACAGTTTCTCAGAAACAGCAGAAAACACACAAAGAGGAGCAACTTTAGCAAGAGGCGTCTTCATGTTCTTATTGATTCCCTCGTTCCCTTTGACCTGGAAGATCTGCTGGGAATTTTGTCTCTTGTCATCTGAACTCACTCATTGATCACGTCCCAAAATTCCCACACCCATTATTTTACAGGGTACAATCAGCATTTTGGGGTAGACAAAACAGAGCCATTCACATCTGATGATTTTCAGGAAGAGGCAAATCCACCAAACAGAATTTCCTTGTTGTTTTCAGGTAATGATTCTCTTTAACTTTTTATCCACCAAACAAAAGAAACTTTTTTGTACCCAATAAATTGCAAGACCTTTCATGGGGAAGAATATTATGATCAGCAACTTCTTAAAGTCTCTCCATACAAAGCATTTCTCCTTGAAGTCTAAATAATCTCAGATCCTGTCTACAACTTCTCCAAACTGTGGTGCTGAGAGTTCCATAAGAAATTCCCTTACAGGGAATTTATTTAATTCATGAATTTGAAGTCACTACAACCTCTGTTCCTTACTTCCCAATTTAATACAGCTTAATTACATTAGCTCCTTGGCTGTCTCATCCACCTTCCAGGAACCCCTCTGAGCTAATCAATAATACAAACATAACGAGGAAACTCTTCCTATTTAATTAAATACCTTGAGCAGGATTCCCCCATATCAGTCTGAGGATTTACAGATGAGTTTAAGAGTCATTCAGAAACTGCAATTTCCATCAGCAAATAAACCTATAATAATTTCTATCATATTTCCATGCTCAATATGTTTCCAAAATAGATTATTAAGACTGTTTTCTCCCTTATGCCTTTTCCCTTCTGTCATTGTTCTTATACTTTTGCTTTTATAAATACAAATTGCTGTTCAGGAGTAGGCTGGGCCTTTAGGAAAACCAACTGTCTTTCCGGACTGGTAATTTTTGTTACCCAATAAGTTCTGAGAGGGCTCAAATTTTTAATTTTTCTTCCCTATATCCCCCTCTCCAAACACTTTAGTTTTGCCCAGAGCTTTGGGAAGTTGGCTTTTGGAAACATGGAGCTGCCCTGTATTTAATAACCTGTGATATATGACCACGTGAAAATACCACCCCCCCACGAAGAGCTGTCTATAAATTTAATTTGAAAACCAACATTCTTCTATTTCTGTAGGGGCTTGACTCCTATCTCCTCCCCAGCTGAGACAACGGGAGAATCCCACTGTCCCAAGTATTCAGATCTACCTCAGAGTACTCTTTTTCATGCCATCTTGAGGAAACAGCCTCAAGTTGTGCCAGGGGAGGATTAGATTAGATATTAGGAAAAATCTTTCCAGGGAAAGGGTTGCAAAGCCCTGGCACAGGCTGCCCAGGGCAGTGGTGGAGTCACAATCCCTGGCAGTGATCAAAAAACCTGTGGATGTGGCACTTGAGGACATGGGCTAGTGGTGAACATGGTGGTGCTGCTGGGTTAATGGTTGGACTTGATGAGCTTAGAGAGGTTTTTTCCAACCTTAACAATTCTATGATTCTGTGATGTACAAATGTGAACCAATCTTTGCATGCAGTAAATCCACATCTGCCACTGGGGTCATAACATCATTTGGTGATCAGCCTCCAAACAAGGAACCAAACAAGCTGACCCAAAGGTTATTATCAGCAGAACTTACAAGCCATAAAATCAGAAAAAAAAAACCCAAACAACCAAACAAACCAAAAAGTTGTTGATTTTATCAACTGAATTTCATTTCACTGCGGCATTAAAGACCCTAAATCAGCTATAAACAAAAAAGCTGGGAAAACAGAAGTAGCAGCTTCCTCTGGGCTGATCTGACTCCCTGTCAGTCACCTTGACCCCCCAGTCCCAGTGCCAGCAATTCCTGAGCCCCAATACACCAAGTGCATTCCCAACCTAAACACACACCTCTCATGTAAAACCCAAATAATCTGATAATGGGCACGTAGGCACGGAGAGCATCCTCTGCACATCAAAAACTCGGGGAGAGGAGAACGAGGAGGCATTCTAAGAATGAAAGCTTATGTCTACTAGACTTCTATTCAAAGCAGAATCTTCATCTCAGTCGTAGAGATGAGCTGCCCACGCAGTGATTAATTAAACTGTCTTGCTGCTCAAACGGGAGTGGGAAAGGATCCGGCAGAACGAGCTTCAGCTGCAACCGTTGAGTCAAAGGAACAGAAGGCAGTGGGAAACAGGAGTGGAATGTGATCCTGTGTGAGGAACATGTGCTTGCTGGTATCCCACACACTGCTGGGATGGAAGTCACTGCAAAAACAATGGCAACTGGCAGCATTCCAGTGCCTCTTCCCCGCCAAGCACTCGCTCACTGAGCTACCTGCCCTGCCTGCTGCGGGTGGTCCCACAGGGCTTTGGGCTTGGAGGGGAAGAGCAGCTTCCCTGAACACCTGAGAAGCAAAAAACAACAAACAAACCAATAAAAGACAGCTGCTATTTAACCTTAGAATAATAGTTAGGAAGACACACTCCCAGGAACAATAAATGGGTGAATTTATCACAGAAATGACCTTGCTGTTTTATTTCCTTCTTCTAATTCCTCTGTCCACCAGATGCTTCACATGAGCTAGTTCCATCTTTCTCCACAAAGGGTCAGTACACTTAAAAAGCAGAGTAGCCTGAGTCAGCAGGTTCCTATTCCCTCATCTACACAACTGCTATGCTTCAAGTTAGAGAACTGCACAAAACCCAGAAGAATAAATTAGACCCCAGCCCCAGGAGCAACTGAAGCAAAAGTGTTTTCCCCCAAAGGAATTTTTAGCAGTTTTTGTTAATTCTGATGAGCCAGGCAAATCAAGGATATGCTGAGATATCAGCACCTGTATGACTCTAATACAGACAGTTCTCTCCTCTCTGAGTCAGTAATAAACATAATCAATATTCCATGGAGCCTGAACACACAGTAAGGCAGAGGAATAGAATCTGAAACAAGATCCTGATCTTGTCATTACAGACATCATGACACTTTCTGTGCAAACTAAACAGTAACCTCAGTGCAGGGAGCAGAAATCAGCTCTGTTAACTGAGGCAAATCATAATTACCCAATTAGACATGCTCCTTCTGTCAGTAAAAATTAATTTTCTCTCTCTGCCAAGGTCAGTGTACACCAATATAACTCTTGTGACACACAAAAGGAGAAAGGGAGGACAAATGGACATATCCATGGGTAAGTTTGCAGGGATCCAGCTCCTAAGAACATGCAAGGACTGTCCCTTACAGGTGTCACAGGGCTGCACAGGCAGAGCTCACTGAACTGTCCTGTGTTCAGGGCATTACCTAATTCACCTCTGAATCAAGTCTGCTGGCATGTTTTTTAATGCATAGTGCAAAACAACCTCACACACAGGAAAATCAAGCCAAGCCCCATTTCAAGTCAAGTGATTTTTTTCCCCAGTTCAGAAAGATGAGGTACTGACCACTAGCCAAAAATCCCACTTCTCCATCACATCCATCCCCCTGGACAGTAACATGGAAGCTATGAAAAAAATCTAACTGGGAACCCTGTACACTTGCCCAGCAGGAACTGAAGAGGAAACAAATCAGCCCTCCAGTATGAAAAACGAAGGAACTCCCCATTCCCCTCCTCTCTGCCCACCCCCAGCTTAACTGGATAGCAACAAATGACACAAACCTTGCCCTGGGCAAAGCCCTCAGCAGGAAGGGCTCCCTCAGCCTGGGTCCCTCCTTCCCCTTGTCTCCACACTCTTTAACCCCTCACAGAATGTTCTTATCTTCTAAGCCATCTAATAGCCAAGGTGAGCAACAAAAGTACCTTCTAAAGTACCCAGGGCACCTTTATTCCACTGATTAAACCTTTTATGAGTTCTCTATTAGCAGTATCTAAGCATGACCTCCCAACTCCCTCACAAGGGTTAGTCTGGCACTCAGCTAACACAGACAGATGTCTTCCCCCTGTGATTCCCACAAGTCCAGTTTCCCCACCTTGGCACACAAAGCTGTCCTGAACACCTGGCCCAGAGGAAGATGTCTACAGTGGAGATGACTGAAATTGCCCTAAATACTGATACTGCAGCATCAAACCAGCTCTGCCTCATAAATGTCTCCTCACAGCCTCCAGTGATCAATCACCTTTATTATCCACTCAAAAAAAAAACATTCCCAAATGTTTTTGGGAAACAAAGCCATGTCTAATGTGCTTTTTGGGACAATGAGCCAAGCAAGAATCGTGTGTCATCTTTTGTATGAAAGATGATGGCATATCATCATAACTCACTTTGTTTCAGTTATACCAATTAATAAAGCTCTTCATTTGCAGGCATTGGTAGCCAAATTACTGCATGTTCCCCATTGCTAATAATGACAGCAAGGGAATGCTCTCTTGGATAATAGTCCACTTGTTACTCACTAAATAAATTTTTGACAAATGAGTTAGGAAGCAGCACTACTGCAAAATGATTATCTACCACAAACAGGTCTGCAAGATGATTATCTATCATAAACAGGAAGATTATCTACCCCAGCACTCCAGAGATCATGTGGTTTCCCCCCAAATGATTAGACAAATTATATATTTCCCACAATTTTGCCAAGCACTACTTACTAGAAGCCTCTGCAGACCCTGCATAGGGAGGTGATGAAAGGCTTCTCCTGAAAATATGCTCTGTGTTTTCTGCACCAGAAATCTTCAACGTATCTGGAATTTAGAAACAAAAATTGCACAAATGTAAAAGCAAGGTAACCTCAAATAAAATAAATCTCACTGACAGCAAGAACCTCTCACTACCCACTGTGTTAAAAGTTTTGAAACATTGATGTTAAACATCGTTTAAAACTGTTCCCGGTTTTCATTTAATTAAGGGGTTTTTTTTCCAGGTGCAGAGGCAAAATTCAACTCTGTTTTCCTGGGTTTACCTTCAGTACTGACATTTTAGCCTGATAAGGCACATATCCAGCAATTCTTCTGCTGGTATCTAGACTCACAATTTTCCCAGCTCCTCCTATGCATTCGAAATTAGGAGTCACTTTTTTCCTCCTCTCCCTCATCCCTAAAAATAATTAAAAAGATAGTATTAATTCCCCTTTGAAGCTAAGGGCCATCCAAAGGCTTCAAAACCAAAACTCATCTAAGGCAATTCCTAATTAATAAAATAAAAATCCTCTGATCAATAGCAGTGATATCAATAGTCAATCAAATCAATAGGACAAGGGGGAAAGGCTTTAAGCTGAAGGAGGGCAGGGTGAGATGGGATATTGGGAAGGAATTCTTCCCAGTGAGGGTGGGGAGGCCCTGGCACAGGTTGCCCAGAGAAGCTGTGGCTGCCCCATCCCTGGAAGTGTCCAAGGCCAGGTTGGATTTGGGGCTGAAGCAACCTGGGCTAGTGGAAGGTGTCCCTGTCCATGGCAGGGGGTGGGACTGGATGAGCCTTAAGGTCCCTTCCAACCCAAACCAGTCTGGGATTCTGTGATTAGCACAACAATTAAAGAAGGTCACAAAAGCTACTCCATGTTTCCAGAAACGTTACCCATTTCCAGTCCTTCCCCAGATCTTTCAAACTTCTCTCCACGATCCTCCTCCAGTGCACTGGACACTGGTCTTTTCCCAGCTTTGCTGGTGCTTCCTCCAGCTGTGACACTGGTCACGGACACCAGTGGGATGGCCTGGCTCTGCTGAAGGAGCAAGGGGAGAAGGAAACATAAACCACACACTCACTCCTGTCCCACAGGCCTGGAGCCTGCTCTGACCCCCAGGGACTGCTCCCAGTTGTGGTGATCAATCAAAGATCACCAGGGGTGACTTGTCATGGGATCCACCAGCTCCCTCATCCATCCCATCAGGGTCTGGGCACTCAAAACTGGCCAGTTTGATTTAAGTATTCCCTGACCTTGTCACAGAAAAAGGGGAAATAACCTCTCCAACCAGTTTGTTGGGTTAGAAAGCCATTATTTTAAATTATATTAGGCATTATTTAGAGCACTGGGTGCATGGGGGATCTCTGTACCTCAAATGCACACCCAGCAACCAAACAGACCAGGTTATAGATATGAAATGAATACATAATCATTACACATCCATCACATCTCCAGAATACATACACATATGCCAACTACTTCTGTGAACTTATTTGGATATGAGTAGGGGTTTTTTGAGGGTCTCTGTCATTTGGGGAACACCCCATTCCCCAAACTATCCCTCTGTGGTCCCAGATATCCCAATGAATCTCTTCTTGAAAGTATCTCAACTACGTGGTCCAGTCACGTTGTACTTTTCTCACTGCCTTTGCTCCAACACACAGTCTTTGTTCTCAGAACTAAGACATCTGCTGGTACATATTAATCACTGCTATAGGCACTAAGCACTATCTGGTACAAGACTAAGCATTAATCATGGATACAGGGATCAAGCACTATTTTGCTAAAGTTACAAGAATTTCCCAACATCTTCCCCCGCTGCTGCACGGCCTCCTTTTTAAAGAGATTTAACTTGTTCGGTCAGAACCTGACCCTCTGCCACCACAGGGACAGCATTTTTCACACTGCTATAGGCAGAGGTGACCAGGAACCATTAACAAATGTCAGGACTGCTGGAGCACAGAGCAGAGCACATCCATCACTTCGGAGCGATGCCCTTTGGACACTGAAGCCTCCCAATAATTCCCCAGGCGTCGGCGTGGGCTGGGTTTTATGGGCTGGTTGTACAAGTACCTCACTTCTCAAGTACTGTCATTAGGAATTTAATATGTAGCATTTGCTTTACAACCTTCTGGAAGGAGGAGAACCTCCCTGTGCCCAGTCAGAGCTGAGGGACAGCCCCCCAAACTCACACAGCTGAAGAGCTCCGTGGTCAGACCAAGGTAGTTGTGCAAAGCCAGGAATGTCACCCTCTGCAGCCTCACCATGATGATCTGCAAACAAGAAGCATCAGGAATGGATTCAGCATTCTCCCACACTTGTTCTGGCATTTAGATACAATCATGTACCACAGTACCTGAAAGCACTTTATAAAACACAGACTGCACCCTAAGCTGAAATTCCTTTTTAGCAGTTGACAAACTGAGATAGAGACGGAGCAAAGTGATTTACAATGACTTCACAATCATTTGATGGAACAAGAATCCAAAGCCTCACTCACAAACACCAAATGCTTTTTGCTTTCTGTAAACATCAGTAATAGAAGTCCCTTGAAATAAAAGGTTTTGCTTCCAATTTTCCCCTCTCATTAAAAAAATTAATCCATCTTTCCCCATTCAGAACCTGAGCCACTGCTCCACAAGCACTCAAACCTAACCCAGAACATCAGTGCCACCCGACCTTCCTCTGCCCTGCCAGATAATTCCCACTCCTAAGCCATCCTCTCTTTTGTACCAGCTCTCCCAGAGCAAATTAAGTTGGTGTTAATGATCTGTTCCTCTCAACCATCAGGACGAGGAGGTTCAGGTGTCACTCATAAATCATCCAGTACCAGAACAGTTTGCAAGGACAAAAAGATTCAGCAGTGACAGTAAAACAAAAGGACAGCCCAGAGTGACTCATCAGACACTGCACCCTTTGGCTGCTACACCTGGAATCCTTCATTCCTGATCCTTGCACCACCTCCCACCTGCAGGAGGGACGAGCCAAACTTCAGTGCTCACCTGAGAACAGTCTGAGCTTCTGCAAAGCAGGGGAAGGTGAACTTTAAGCTAATTCAAAGCACAGCTCTTTCCTCAGGTGCTGACAGACACTTCTGAAGTGGAAATTCACATATCCATCTGAATTTTGTGAATTTTCCAAAGCATCACCCCTCACCAAACAGCTTCTAAGGGTCCAACAGTCCTATTTCAGAACATGTGACAGCCTGTTCATGATCCTAAGCCACTCTGAAGCACTGCTGGTGCTCACCGAGGTGCAGAGCCCACGCCAGCACCTTCTCCTCAAGGACCAACGAGCTCACAGTGCAGGTCAGGCTGATTAAAGAGGCTACCACAGGCAGAAACTCAATTAATGAAGATATATATATATAAATTATTTCTTCCTGTATGTGGTAGTGCTGGGATTATTAAGTCTAGGGCTTTAACAACTAGGGGAATAGCAGGATATATTCCAGATCTTGAGCAGTTCCATACCTGCCAAAGGATGATGAACTTGCTGAACCTCTAAATGTCTTCCCTGTAACTTTGAAATACGAGTGATTCCCCCTTCCCCCTCAGTTCTACCTACCTGTACCACTCTCACCAGAGTTTCAGGGTATTTTTGGAACACATCTTGGAAGGCACTTGCTGGAAGTCTCAGAATTGTGGATGGAGTGGCTGCTCGGGCTGAGACTGTTTTGTAGGGAGCAGGGTGGCCCTGATGGAAAGTTCCAGAGGCACAAGATTAATCCACCAACCATCCAACTCAAACCTCCCCAGATTCCTGCTTTGCTGCTCTGTATGTCTGGCAGACATCATCTGACCACAGAAAGCCTTGAACTTGTGCTCCATGACCCACGGGTGGAGTAATGAGAGCGAACTCACACCAGCAGTTCCATCAGAATTAAACAGAGACAGAGGCAGAGAAATAAGAGCTACAAGGAGGTGGATCAGGTTAAGGGTCTGTCAGCTCTGCCACAGTCATTACAGACAGAGCCAGGCTTCAGGAGCACTTCAAATTCCAGCTGAAGAGAACAGAGGGTTTGCTGATTTTATTATTTGTACTGACAGCCAAGCTATTTGCTGCAAAAACAAGCCCAGACTCACACAATCAGTACAAAATACAACAAAATTGTACAGTAATTACATACATAATGGAGTGAGACAAAAACCAGGCAGACTTCTTGTGTTTCAAGATACATGTGTCTTCATATATATATATATATATATGAAATATTCCATGTGACAAAGCCAAACAGCTTCTCTTTACTTAAGACAAAGTGGGTCTAGAACATCTTGCTCAAAGAACAGATTGACAATTAACAAACCAATGAAAAATAAAACTGCAAGTGGGCAGAATGTAGAGATTTTTTTACACTGGAAGGCAAGCCTCCAGTTTAGGATTTTCCCCCTTGAATCACAATAGAGTTTTAACAAAAATCTATTGCCAAACACTTGGACAAAAAACTCCAGACAGCACCCCTTCTAAAATGTAATGCTGGAAATAACATCTATAAGTCATGAATTAATTTACTAATACATCAGATACTGATCTACCCCATATTTCTAAGATAAAATGAGCCCTTTTACAGCACAGAGAAGGAGCAAAGGAAGAAATGGAGTTTCTGCTTTAACAGTCACCTCACAGCTTTCCCCCTCCTGAACAGCAGCAGGGAAATTTTTCCAAGCACTGAACACACAGATATTAAATGCTGATTATAAAGGAAACAACTCCCAAGTCTTCCAGAGCACCAGACAACTCCACACAATCACTGGGAAGGAATTCCTGCCTAAAGAACCCAGCAAAACCAAACAAGAGACTTTCTGTACCACAATAATCACTCTGGAAAATAAAGCTGCAGCTCTGTCTGCTGGTCTGCAAGGCACCATGAAGTAGGTTCTAAAATTAAATTACATTAATTGGAACCAATTTCTTAATTACACAAACTTCAGCTGACCTTTTTATACAATCTGGGGATGAAATTAATAGCTTTGATTTTCAAGTTCCTGAGGGATTGGAAATTTTAAACATCTCTTTGACCTACAGGGCAAAGTTACCAGTGTCCCCAGTTTTCTTAAGTTTCTTTTAATTAGGTAAAGAAATTAACCAAAATTAACAAAAATAAATGCGACAATCCACTTTTACAAGCCAGTTTAAAGTCTGCCTTCAGATAAAGAATTAATTTGGAATTCTTATACTTAAATGCAATAGAAAATGTATATAAGTCTGGTTTTAAGTGCATGGATCACTGAATTTGCCATCAATTGTATTTCCTACCAATCTCTACATCAAATATATAGTGAAAAGTAAGGAAATCTAGTAAATCTTTAATTGCTGGACAAGGATAAACACCAGGTTTAATAATCTTCCATAACAGTTATTCCCAAGAGCCAAATAAGCCCTGTTTATACAGTCATGTGGTCTCCAGTCTGCCCAGTAAAGTGTTTGGGTTTTTTCTTGTGCTTGTGAGAGGAGAGGCCAGTCCTGAGAGTGTCAGAAAACCAGTTTTAGGATAATAATGGATAATGATGCAGCAGCCTTTTCCTCCAAAGAACAGCCCAATCCTCCAGGTTTTCAGCATATAATTTTGCCTTTTTGATATCACTGCATGAGAGCAGCTCTGTTCTGAAAGGGCCAACACCACAACTAATGGGTTTGGAACATGCTAAAAGCTGTGAGAGGAGCTCGAGGAGGAAATGTTCTGTAATTGTCAGTTCTCTCAGAAACAAAATAATCAGCAGCACAGGGAGAATACCAGGTTTAAATTATACTGTTTTGCAATCCCACACTCAGATGACAGGAACAGTTAAGTTATAATCAGGAGTGAAACAGGGTTTCTTGAAAAGAACTTTTTGTTCTCAGGGCAGGTAACTATTTACTTGTTCCAAGAACTGTAAGATGTCACCTACAAGCAGCAGCCAAATCCAAATGACAGCTAATGGCCAAATCCAAATGAATTTGGTTAAGAAATATGCCACAAGAGATACAGGTGCTTTACATTCTGCCACCTGCAGTGGTAACTCCTTTTTGTACCCAAAAATCTGGCATATTCTCCCTCTTTCCATTGCCTGGGATTTGTCTTCCTCCCCTCCTACCTGACACCCTCCTCACTGCACCGACACTGCTGCACCCAAAGCTCTTGCAGCAATCAATCTCTTCTTTATAACCTCATCCATCTTGTCCAGTGCCACTTAAACAGACCTGAGCCCTGCAGGCTCACCTTTATCCAAGTGTTTTTTCAGCTTCTTTTAATCCTGACTTTCATTTCCCCCCCTCAGTCACTGCCAGTTGATCAATATTCCTCACAGCCTCTTCTTTTTTATTCCTGCTCCCAGTTTTCCTAATACCCACTCCACAAAAGGAGAGTCAACCCCAAAGCTCCAGAAATCAGCATCACAAGCCATCTCTGCTGGTCCCATTTAACTCTGGATGAACATTCACTGTCCAGGGAAAAGCTCTGGCTGCACACACGAGCTCTCAGCAACAGCTGCTGAAAACACTTCGTGGACACCAACAATGCTCAGCTCAGAGACTTCTTGAATATTTGGAGCAGCATCAATTCAGAGTCAGATTAACTACACCTCAGAATTGTTCCAGAATACCAGGAAAGAGCCTGTACCTACTTGGATTCAAAAGCTTCCAGCTTCTCCTTCAAGTTTAGAGAAATCAGCATCGATCTGTTCTCAGAACAAGTGAAGTCTCATGTCACAGCTGGTACCTTTGTATTTAGTAGATCTAAAGGGACTTTCCAATTTAAAAACTGAAAGATTAAACTAGAAAAGTGCCTCTTGTGTGACCTTTCTTTTAGATCCAACAACAAGAGCTCTTGCAGCAACCTCAACTTTCTCACAAAGCTCTCAGCTAAGTGAGGGACCAGCCTGACATCATGTGCTACAAAATCAGCTGAAAGAATCCCAAATTTAGGTAAGGCAACTGAAATCCTCTCTGAACACACCCTTTCTTCATCTCAGAGCCTTGTGCTGGGTGACAATTAAGGTTATGGTATCTGCAGGAAGTTCTAATCACTGATTTGGAATGACACTGAAGAGTCTCCTCTACTTTGATCAACTTCCTCACTCCTTGCACATTTTCATGCTTCTCCCACAGCCAAAGTCAGCAAGGGACATAAGGAAGAGGAGAAACAGAAATAAACCAGGCAGTTTTATTTCCCACAAAGCTGGGAAATGAGGAACAAAAGAGTTGTAAAAATAAATGAGAACGAGTTTAGCAAAAAAAAAAAACCTGCAAGGTTTTTTCATTCCATGTTCTTCTCCACGCTGCTAACTCTGTTCAAGACACTTTCAATCATTTTTATTTTTTTATTTACCAGTGATATAACTAATGAGAAAGAGGAAAAAAATCATAGAATGAGAATTAAAAACCAAAAAAGATCCTAACACAACACAAAATGAATGGCAACACTCTTAAAAAAACCAAAGCCACAAGACGCTGTTATACAAGAAGGATTTCTTTTCCTATATTCCTTTATAAAGCAAGAACATGACTAGTATTAATGTTCCTATATGATGGTTCTGCTCTTTAGAATATTGTCATTAAGAAAATTTAGTGGTGGAAGTACCAAGGAGGAAGGTACTAATACGAATTTACAAATATATTAATATGAATTTGACAGCAAGAACTAGACTTGTACAGTCCAAATTATTCACATGCCATTACTTTCTACAGGAAAAAAAGCGTGACCAAGCTTAAAAAAATGTATCCCTGTCAATAGGTTTTATGGGAACTATAAATACAGATATACAGATGCATGTTTGCATTTAAAATGGCAAAGAACACTTTAGAGAATCCTTAAACTACTTAATGGTACCTTTTGATGAACAGAGACAGCCAAGCACAACAGAAACATGATACAAGGTCAAACATGAATACAGATTTGATTATCTTCATCCTCTCCACTACTAAAATCCTTCAAGAAAGCACATTCAGTGCTTGAGTATCATCAAAGATGATGAATTCAACACCTTCCATTCAGGTATTCCCAAATAGCTGTGCTGGGATGATTTCAGCAAAACCATCAGTGTAATTCCAGCTGAAACAAACCCCACCAATTTGTACATCAAATATGACCCCCAAACGTTCAGCTCATCCTGTCCCCTGCCAAGGAGCACAACCCTCAGCTGGTCACCAGCACCACCGATGTTGGAAAATAAATCAATCCATCAACTGTTTTCATGGTATAATCACAGTAATAGCAACTGTCAGGTTTATTTTCTTTAGATTAAATAAAAATAAATTCAGTAAGCAACAAATCAAACTCTCAGGCACATGGTGTGACTCTTGGGGATGGTCTGCAGGGTTAAGGGTTGCACTCAATGGTCCTTGGGAGTCCCTTCCAACTCAGCATATTCTGGGATTCCATGAAACAGTGTAAAAGCCTGGAATTCTGGGCCCCAACCTGGTCCTGCTCCTGACTTGAGTTGTGCCCTCAAGCAAATCAAACCCTGTCTCAGACTTCCAGACATAAAGGAATAATCCAAATCCTGCTGCTGATCAGGAACAGCCAGAGTTACACTGCCAAGCACACGACTCACAACCACCTTACACACCCCAGAGCTCACTCCACACCTGGGAAGGCCTGGGAGGAGGAGAAGAGTTAATCAAAAAACCATTTTGCATCCTGAGTCCTTCCCAGGAATATTCAACTCCTGCTCCCCCTGCCAGGCTCTGGCGTCCAGCAGCACTGCAGGAACCCTGCAGCTCCCAGGACTCACCGTGATGACGTCGAGGATGCTGAGAAGGCTGTGGACACTGTCTCCTGCCAGCACCTCCTTCACCACCACCTCTGTTCCATCCTGCAGGCACAGACACACCATCACTGCAGGCTCACAGCTGCATTTTGGCAAATTTGGAGCATTTCAGAAAGCTTAACTTGCTCCCAATCCTCCCACACACTCTGAGCAGCTCCCATTCCAGGTTCCCATTGGGACTTGGATGCTTGTTTTGTCTCTGCTCTGATGGAAATGTGCTCATTCCAACCACAGGGCTTCAAATCACCATTCTGAAAGTGATAAATTAAAAGCAACTAAAAGCCAGCTTTGTCTGGGGGGAGTTGGACCTGCTTGTCTTTGCTTTGTAACCACCAACAAAACAAAGCTCCCTTCACTCTGAGGCAGAATCAGCCTCCTTTATCAAGGGGTTTCATGTCAGGAACAGAAAAATGTAAAATTATACAGAAATCATCACATTTGGTATAATTTCCAAACACGAGTCCCCTGCATTTTCAGCCATTGGAAACCTGTTCACAACCTAAAGCCAAACTCAATGTTCAGTCAGGAAGAAGAAAAATACTAAAAATCAAACTTGGCAGAAAGGATCACAAGGGCTGGCACTCAACATTTTAAGACTCACCCATGAAACAAACCATCATTTCTTTTCCCTGTTTACCCAAAAGTGAATCTGACTCTTCCACCTCCCAGGTAAAACCCAGTAACTCCCATTAGAATATTCTGAAGTGAGCGAGGTCTCTCCTGCTCTCTGTGCCCACCTACTTTCTATAATGACCACCCCAAAAGGGAATGTTTCCAAGCCCACCTTGCACCCTGTCCTCCCTCAATAACTATGTGTGAGGATATTTCAAGGTGCCCCATCAGCACTGTGTCCTTCTCTCCCATCTGAGACACGAGGGACCAGAGCTACAAACCTCGATCTTTATGAAGAGTTGGGAGTAATCCCTTCTAAATCCCTATGACTCACAGGCCTAAGTCTAATCAATGCTTAATGATTCATGCCAGGCTGTATGCTATGCCAACAAATGTATCTTAAAAACTGCAGATCAGTTGGTTCTTACGCTTTCCTGGATGCAAACTTCCAGCTTCCCATCCTGCACGACGTAGATGCTGTTGTCCAGCTGCCCAGGACGGAAGATGTACTCGCCCTCATGCAGCTGCACGAAGAACATGTGCTTGCACAGCTCCAGGAACAGAGGCTTCTCAAAGTGCCCAAGGACCCTGCAGCAAAGAAAACGCAGAGGGAAACCCAAAATCACCAGTGCCCTTGGAAAATCCTTCCTAAATTAGCAAAGCACGAATAACGGAGGAAGCCCCGAGGGGCTGCTGCGGGGCAGAAGGAGTAGAGCTCCCCAGAACAGAGGTGCAAGAGCACTGTGAAACACTGAGACTGTGAATACTGGGGTTCCTTCGGAGAAGAACTCCAAGGAATGCCAGCAAGCTCAGCAGGAAGTGCAGCCAGCCTTCTTCCAGCAAACACCAGCACGGCTTCCGAAGGAGAAGGAATTTAAAACCCTGCAGGATTCACACACTGCAGGAGAAAAGTTACTCCATGGAACTCTCCCTTTTAGTGCAGCTGCCCTGTCCATGGGACCAGGACACAGGAGAAATACTGAAAATATAGGGAAAAATTCCTGTCATCTGCACACACTTTAAATTTGGAATATTCCATCTCCTGCAGGTAACGTGCACCTGGACTCCTCCAGTACTGAAAATAGCCAGTGACTACCAGGCAGACAGAAATACAGGTCTTAAACCTGATCACTCTGTTACAGAGCTCCATCAGCTCACATTTATCAGGATTAATCCATCAAATTCTACTGCAACATCAGTTAGTCACAGGAGATCATAATTCCACCAGATGACTTAAATAGCATTTTTATTCAAGAATGTATGACCTTCAGGAATTAATTATATCATATCTGGGAGAAAAAATGAACATCCACAAACAAAACCAAAATTACAGATGGGAAGATCTGAAACTCTTGGCTGTGTCAGCAAATTTAACCTCTTGCTGAAGGGGCACAAAGACCAGCCCTTCTTCTTAATCTGCCCAAGAGCCCCGGGGATTAACCTGACTTTGATTTGATTTGCAACCTTTTCAGCCAGAGAAGTGAAAGATTCTGCAGCTTAGAGAGCTGTCAATATGGTATCCAATTAACATTTACCAATTACAATGCTTTTCTGTACCAAAAAATTGTCAGATAGAGCCTACAGAGAAGTTTTAAAATGCACTACATTTGTTCATGTTAGAGCACCTTCATTATCACTATCCCCAAATTCAGGCCACTAATCTACATCCTTTTTCCCCCCCTCATTTTTTATTTTTAAATCAAACTCCATTATTTTCTTAACATTTCTAGAAAATTCCAAGTCCTTTATTCTGTCCTCATGCTCAGATGAATTTCAGTCAACTCCTTCAAGATTCTGACCCTGCAGCCATAAAGTCTGAGACTTGATACAACCTGCCAGATATTCACATCACTTGAACATCCACACTTATCTTCTAATTTAACATTACCTGACATTTTTAAGCATGTACAGGACTTCTGATGGCAAATGGGAATTCTTCACATCAAATTCAGTCAGATCTGCCTCTAGCAAAGAGGGAGGAGGCTCCTTCCTCTGCAGAGTTGGACATTCCTTCTTAATACGTAGAATCCTGCAAAGGAAAACCTGAGTCAGGGAGCCAGGACATCCCCTCATTTGTCTTAATTATAGTGTAAGTACTGAGTAAGTATATAGTGAATGATAAACACTTGCCATCCCAAGTTACACATCATCAATCAGCTAAACCTTCCATCCTCCTGCCTTTCTTCAACCAAACCAGACAGTGCCGCACAAACCACCCCAGTTCAGCAAACTCCCCAGCTGATCCTCAGCTGAAAGGACTGGGAAAAGCCAGGAGCTATGGAAAAGTGCTCTGCTAAAGACTGGACCACAAATAAAAACTCCAAACCCGTCCTCCCTGGCACAAATTTTCCCCTTCCCAAAAGCCCAAGTACCTTTTAGCCAGAGATAAAACTTTTGCCCGTTTGCGCATCCTCTGGCGAGGCACCGTGTTCCCAACCAGGGAGTTTGGAAGAGTTGTAACCTGGGAGGAAAGAAGGAAAACAAAAACAGTTACTAAAACCCAGAACAAACCAGAAAAACCAACTCAGTAGTTCCAGCTCTGCAAAGGTTCCAAGCCATCCCCCAGCCATTCAGAACCACAGAATGTGCTGAGTTGGGAGGGACCCACAAGGATCATCCAGTCCAACCCCTGGCCCTGCACAGGATCATCCCCAAGGGTCACACCCTGTGCCCCAGAGGATCATCCAAACCCTCCTGGAGCTCTGGTAGCCTTGGGGCTGTGCCCACTGCCCTGGGGAGCCTGGTCAGTGCCAACCACCCTCTGGGGGAAGACCCTTTCCCTGAGGTCCAACCTAAGCCTCCCCTGAGGCCATCGGAACACCTGTAAGACCTCAGAGGACTGGAACAACATCTACTTCAGGATCACTTCCTTTCTATGAAGCAAGCAAACTATATTTTGATTTTACTAAGCAACTGCTACAGTGGTAATGGATGGTAGGGGGGAAAAAACCTTCAGCCGTGGTTCTCACTCAGGAACACTCAACATGGGGAAGAGGAGGAAGGCACTGAGCTCTCCTCCCTGTGACCAGCGACAGGACCTGAGGGAATGGCTGGAGCTGTGCCAGGAAGGGTCAGGTTGGATCTCAGCAAAAGGTTCTTCCCCCAGAGGGTGGTTGGCACTGACCAGGCTCCCCAGGGCAGTGGGCACAGCCCCAAGGCTGCCAGAGCTCCAGGAGGGTTTGGACAAGGCTCTGAGGGACAGGGTGGGATTGTTGGGGTGTCTGTGCAGGGCCAGGGGTTGGACTGGATGGTCCTTGTGGGTCCCTTCCAGCAGAGGATATTCCATGATTCTACCTGGCAGTCTGTGTGCTGACAAACCAGGGCCACATTCACGTCTGAGCTGGTGACAAACCAAGGCTTTTTCCCACTTTTCCTGGTTCCCAAGTGCCACCCTCTGGAGAAACACATCAACTGCTACACCAAGAAAACCCCTCATTAGTTACTTCCAAAACATTCCTAGTTCTTCATTTGTTTCTCAAAGAGTTGAATCTCTGTAAAACATCTCTGTCACAAAATAAATCTTTAATTAGTTTGGAGGGGTTTTTTTTTAAGTAAAACCTTGGTATGTTATCGAAATTCCCCAAATTACAATCCACAGCAGTCAGTGTGTAAATAGCCTCTGCCTTATTCAGGAATAAAAGTAAAAAGCAAAGTGTAAAACCCCAAACCCAAAAATACCTGAAATGAATTTCCCATGTGGAATTCTAAGCATTCTTTACTTATGTGACTTACATATAAACAGCTGTGTTAAAGAATATTAAAATTGTGAAGTTGCACATTAACATTATGAGGAATATTAAAATTATGAAGTTGCACACACACAATTTCCCTCCACTGAGGGCTTTTTTGGCCAAGTTCTACATAAAAGCTGACCTGCAATGCAAGGTTCAGGGAGTAACCACCTCCTCCACAATGAGACAGAGCTCCAGAGCTGAATATTAAACCCAGCACAGTGTCTAATTAAGTCCAGGTATTTGAATTCACCTCAACAAAGTGAATGAGGCAGAAGGCCATGGCAGCTCACAGGAGGAAATGTTCCTCAACACCCAGTGACTGGCAACCCAAGGTTCCTTTCCTGTACCTTATTTTTCCAGAGATGCAGGTTTCCAGTGCCCTGGCACTGGGAGTGCTCTCCTGGACTCAGCAGGTCATGGCACAGGGCACAGCCAGGACCCCCCCCAGCCACACTCTGCCTCTGGCCCCCACAAAAGGGGCCAGTCCCAGCCTGGCCTTGCAGCTTCCCAAGACTTCTGACTCTCCAGGACAGAAGGCAGGGAGAACATACCACAGTCAGAATTAAACAGCCTTGGTTTTTCTCCAGCCATTTGCACCCACCATCCTTCACTAAACAGAGGATTATAAATAAGCAACAAACACTTGGGGCTCTGAAAAGCACCACCTGAGGAAGAAGTAGCTTTCCAAAGTCAGGGATTATCAATAGCATCACATATCTATCTATCTATATCTCATATCTATATGTGAGATACATATATTATATAGATGTATCTGTTATAGATATATATCATATATTGATAAAACAAGGGGGAATGGCTTTAAACTGAAAGACAGTGGATTTAGATTGGATACTGAGGAGAAATCCTTCCCTGCGAGGGTGGGGAGGCCCTGGCACGGGTTGCCCAGAGAAGCTGTGGCTGCCCCATCCCTGGAAGTGTCCAAGGCCAGGTTGGACGGGGCTTGGAGCAACCTGGGCTAGTGGAAGGTGTCCCTGCCCCTGGCAGGGGGTGGAGTGAGATGATCTTTAAGGTCCATTCCAACCCAAACTACTCTGATTCCATGATATTTAAACAATCATCAGCTCCATACAGGAGTTAAGATATTCAGTGATTTATTACTACCCTCACTGGCTGCAAATATTCTTGAAAGAGCTAAAGTTTGGCCAGAAGGAGAAGCTCCTGCTGCTCCACCAACAATTCAGGAAGCATTCCAGGGGTTCTGAAACATCCACAAAATCTCAGCGAAATTTTACAGGTTGAAGGCCTAAAGTATTACAGAGTCTACACCCCCCAGAGTGGATTTTAACCTCCCTTCCCTCCCCCTGTGCCAGATGCTCTCACCTTCCTCATGATCTTCCTGCCATAGAACATCACTTTGTCCCTCTTGCGAAACCTGTACTGGGGCACGTGGGGCTGAAGCTGTTCTGGAACAGAGAAGCATCACGTCAGAAACCACCTGCTCAGGGAAAACACCTGAGCACAGCTTGGCAATTCTGCTGCCCTGGCTCCTGTCTGCTCAGCTGGCACCTCTCAGGGTCAGCACTGGGAGTTTAAACCAACCCAGGACACCTCAGTACCCAGCTCTGAGCAGCCAAGCCAGAGCAAGGAAGAGCTGCTTTGGGGTTCTACCTCAGCACCAGAGGAGATAAAGGGCTCTCTAAACAGATACAAGGATTAGGCAATTTTAATCTCACAAAGGAAACCTCTAATTCAATCATTTCTCATTACTGTAACAGTGAAATCACAGCAGGGCTGACATCATTTGCATAATTTACAGCTGACAATAAGGCTGATCCTAATCACACACTGGAGAAATAAAAACCTCCAGCACCCTGAACGTGACAGTTTTGGATTCTGGGTTCAGACCTGGGTAAGTGAATCAACAAAAGTTCTTCATCCTTTTAATGCTGTTTTCCTGCAAGAGCCACCCCTTCACAGCAAACAACTACCACAGATTATTACAAAAATACTCGAGATAGCTAGGAAAACTGCTTTTAAAACTTACTTAGTTATCACATACTTACTGGATTGTCTCAGTCTTCTGTACACAACAAACACAACAACTGCAATAAACAGCAGTGCCACTGCAGCTCCAATTGCAATTCCAGTCAGCTGGGAGGGAAGTTTAGGGGGAAAGAAGTTAATATTTTCAACTTTATAAATTACTATGTACTTTTTGGAGGGCTGAGGCACACTGAGCTCAGCAGGATATCTAAAAGTCAAGCACGTTCATAAATACTTGATTTTTAATTCAAACCACATATGCAAGGAATTTAAGCTCTAACAGTGGTTCACATGCAAAATATTCCACATTTTTCTTCCCAAAGATCTGTGAGCTGATTAACTCAATGTACAGGAGATGAACAAGGACCTGGAGTGACAGGACAAGGGAGAATGGCCTTAAGCTGAAGGAGGGCAGGGTTAGGTGGGATATTGGGAAGAAATTCTTCCCTGTGAAGGTGGTGAGGGGTTGGGACAGAATTCCCAGAGAAGCTGTGGCTGCCCCATCCCTGGAAATGTCCAAGGCCAGGTTGGACTGGGCTGGGAGCACCCTGGTCTAGTGGAAGGTGTCCCTGCCCATGGCAGGGGGTGGGACTGGATGAGCTTTGAGGTCCTTCCCAAACCATTCTGTGATTCTAAATAACAGGAATTAATTCCTGCCTCGTGCCCAGCGACAGCAAAGAAACAAACACTCAGACTTTGACAATTCCTGACAGTTCAGGAGAAGCTGCACACTCTGGATGCACAGCCAACCTCCAGCCATACTTTACCATAGTGGTGTGTATCCTGTCCTCCACAAACTGCAGCATGGGGGTTGCATCTGGGATCACAGCCTGGCACCAAAAGGAAGGTGAAATTAGTTTCCCACAACTGGCAAAGAGCCTCCATAAGAACATCTCAGTGCCTGGTCTGTCACATACCTTAAAACACAACTGGATTGTGTTTTTCAGCACCTTCCTTTGATTTTGCAAACACAAACATTCAGTGGAGAGGGGTTATTAGGGGAGTTTTGAGTTGGTGTCAGTTCAACACAGTCTAAACAGCCCTAAACCAGGCAATAACTTTTTTTGGTGGTTTTAAGTTCTTCAGAGCAACAATGATGAGAATGGAATGTAAAAGACTTCATGAGACTGAGAAAATAAGTCATAAATCAGCAGGTTAAAGTCATCATAAGAAGCAAATGATGCAAAAGCCCTGACCTCAGGTGGGCTGTCCTGGGACCTGTGCCCACCACTGCTTCTCAGGAATAAAACCTGGCAGTTAAAAGAACCTCACAAATGCCAATTTAAACTTAGGAGAAGGGGGGGAAAGGCAAAAAAAATTACAACAAACAAGTGGCAAACAAACCCAGCAGAAGGAGATATGTCCCCCTGCAAGTCTTGAACCTGCCAAGTCCTTGAATTAAGCACTTCACACAGTTCTGGTAACAATTCCTGCCCCTGGTTCCAGACCTGGATGACATCTGAATTTAGCTTTGCCACCAAGAGAAAAATGAAGGGCACACAGAGTCACCAAACTAGTCTCTCTCATAAAATTAATTCCAGTTCTACAGCACAAATGAAACTCCTGCCTGACCAGTCACCTCTCACTATGCTCACTTTGGCTTCTCAGGTTGTTTTAACACAGCACACGGACAATTTATCTTCCCAACATGAGTCAAACTCTATCACTATTCTTATCAGACTATTATTCACGGGATTGTAGCAGAAAGTCAGAAAAATTTGAAAAAATCAAAAGCTGAAAACGTGGTAGCAACAGATACAACACCTGGTGACAGAGAGTTCTTGGTGTAAATCTATTGTGGTCACTTAATGTATTTCCCCTTGACAGTGTCAGGGACATGGACAGCTCTGCTGCTCTCCAGGCCTGTGGGATCTCAAATAACATCAAAAATAGTAGTTGCCAACTGACACTCACAGTGCTGCTCCAGGAGGAGGAGAAACAAACCCACGAGCAGAAGAACAAAACCCCGCCGGGCCCAGAGCGAACCCTCAGGCCTCAACGAGGGAAAGAAGAAATTCAGAGCTCCAAGAAACACTGAGAGGTTCTTGCAAGGTTTTTACCAGTGAAAACATGATATTCCCCACCCAGACCCGGGGGTGGATCTTTTCCAGCACTGCCAATCCTTCTGGAAAAGCAGAGGAAGCAAAGCAGACAAGGTGAGCTGTTGAGACAACTGGGACATGTCAGCAATTCCTGGGCCATGACAGCACCTGGGGCAGGTGTGAGGTCATGGGCAGCTCCTCTCTGAGGAGGGCTGTGGCCAGCACCCAAATCCAAGGACTTCACAGGTGCCTCACACAGCCCCAAACAATTCTCAGACCCAAAACACCTGTGGGATAACCCTGAAAAATCCCTCATTCCATCAGAAAACGGAGCAAAGACCTGCTTAAAGGATGGGTTAGCATAAAGAGCTTTTCTCTGCTTCTTGGTGTTGGAGTTTCCTTAAGAAACAGAGACTTAACAGCACTCAGCACCAACATGCAGCCTCACAGCTAATGCTCACACCCATCCAGAGTCCAGGCACAAACACTCAGCTCTGCTGAGAGTCCAGCAACATCTCCTTGCAGTCCAAGGCAAACACTGAGACATTCCCTGTCCTGGGAGGGGTGGGAGAAGCTTATCAGCACTGAAAGCAAGGCCTTAAAATTGGGACTGCCCAAAACATCAGACTTCCTCCTTGCTCTGAAGCACCCAGGGTCACATGCCTTGTTTTGACTACAGAGACTGGAGTTTCACAAAACATTTTGAAGTGCCCAGGAGTAGGTTGTGTGTGTTTTTTAGTTCTGAGAACCAAAATAGAATAGAATAGAAGAACTATTTTGTTTTTCACAACTGTGAAAAGCACCACATGCCTTGTTGGACCACGAGTTTCCAATTTATGGTTAAGAACAAATGCAAGGAGAGCAGGCTGCCAGAATTCTGCAATTCTCCCTTCTTTAGGCTAAACCCATACAAAACAAAAGGTATTTAAACCATAGCATTGTGCAAAGTTTAAAATACAAAGCAGACTATGAATGCTTTGTAGCAAATAAAAAAAAATTAAAATAATAAACACACAGATAAATGGGACCAATCCTGAAAAGTTTGAAAGGATAAAACTCTTGGAAGGAAAGGTTCCTTCAAAGTAAAAGCACCTAAAGGCATGGCCCAAATGTTATCAAATCAGGTACAGCACCTTTCAGCTGCTGGAAACACTCCCAGGGAAATAAATATGCCAAAAAACAAGAGCAAAGCAAAGTACCTCAAGGCTGGTGCTGTTGTCTTCTTCAACCATGTCTGGAGGCACAGCAGGAGCAAAAGCAAAACCAAAAAGAGAAGACTGAGTTAAGAGACGATCACACTCTCTGATCCAAGTTCTTGAACAATACAAGAACACAAGGGGAACAATAACTTTTTAACTTTATCATCCCTTTGTGCTGAGCAACAAAACCCAGCAGGGAAGTGCTGGGAGACAGGGCTGTGTCTCCTAAAGAAACTCCTCCACAGCCACAGGTATTCACGCACAGGACATCCCGGGTGCCCACAGCCCGGTGGCACAGCCAGAGCCACCTCGGGGCACCCGTGCTCCAAGGAGAAGGGAACACCGGGATGGCACTGCCCGGGGCACACCGACACTGTGCGGGGCGACCGGAGCAGGACCGGGCTGCGGGGCAGGGCAGCACCGGGGCACCCGCCGGCTCAACCAGGGTCACCCTCCTGGTCAGCTCCGGTCAGCCCGGGTTACCGTCCTGGTTACCCACCGGCCAGCCCCGGGTCACCCTCCTGGTCAGCTCCGGCCGGACCTGGGTCACTCTCATGGTCACCTCCTGGCCAGTCCCGGGTAACCCCCCGGGACAGCCCCGGGTTACCCTCCTGGACGGCCCCGGCCTGACCCTGGTCATCCTCCTGATCAGCCCCGGGTCACCCACCTGGTCAGCTCCGGCCAGACCCGGGTTACTCTCTTGGTCACCCCCTGGCCAGTCCTGGGTCACCGTCCTGGTCACTCCCCGGCCGAACCCGGGTCATCCTGCGGGTCAGTCCCGGGTTACCCTCCTGGGCAGCCCCGGGACACCCCCGGGTCGCCCTCCTCTGCCCTGTCCCGTCTCGCCCAGTCACACCTTGGGACACGAGAGAGAAACAACAACCCCCCCTTCCCCCGGCACACCGCGACACCGGCGCCCGGCGGGGGCACCGCGGGGCCGCACTGCCCGCAAGGCCCGGGTCCCGCCGCCGCTCCTCGCCGAGCCCGGCACCCTGGCACGCCCTCACCTGCAGCAGCTCCAGCTCCTGCTCCAGCCGCAGTCCCCATCCCGCTCCCGGTCCCGGTCCCGAACCGGCTCCCGGCTCTCGCCGCTCCCCGGGCCGGGGCCGAAGGGCGCGGGGCGCACTCCCCGCCCGCCGCCGCCAGGGGGCGCCCCGGCCCCCGCAGCTGATTGGCGGGAAAGCCCCGGCCTCGCCAGGCCCCGCCCACCCCGCGGGACGCTCGCCGATGATTGGACCGAACAGTGCGGGGGAGCATCGGCGCTGCGGATTGGCTGGTGTTTGTCAGCCAATGGGAGCGGGCGGTGTTGCGTCGTGGGGAGGCGGGAGGGCGGACGGGCCGCTCGGGGTCGTGAGGGGAGGGAGGAGGGACTGGCCCCGCCGAGCCCCCGGGGCCTTCAGGGACCGGCTCCGGCTCCGCTGACCACTCGAGTGCCTGCAGGGAGTGGCCTGGCCCGGGGAGCCCTCGGTGCCCTCAGGTATCGGCCCGGCTCGGGAGAGTCTGAGTGCCCTGAGGGACCGGCCTCGCTGAGCCCCCGCTACCCTCAGGGAGCGACTCTGGCTCTGCTGAGCCACTGAGAGTGCCCTCAGGGAGCGGCCTCGTTCTCAGTGACCAGCTCCGTCCTCGCTGAGCCCTCGATACCCGCAGGCCCGGCCCGGTGCCCGCCATGGGGCTCCTGTCCCAGCTGGCCCGCGGGCTGGTGCGCGGCGCCGACCGCCTGTCTCCGTTCACCAGCAAGCGCGGCCCGCGGAGCTTCAACAAGGGCCGCGGCGCCAAGAAGCTGGGCGTGCTCACCAGCAACAAGAAGTTCCTCCTCGTCAAGGAGATGGTGCCCGAGTTCATCGTGCCCGACCTGACGGGCTTCAAGCTGCGGCCCTACGTGTCGTACCGCGCCCCTGAGGGCTCCGAGCCGCCCGCCACGGCCAAGCAGCTCTTCGACGAGCTGGTGGCTCCGCGCATCGAGAAGGACGTGAAGGACGGCACGTTCGACCCAGACAACCTGGAGAAGTACGGCTTCGAGCCCACACAGGAGGGGAAGCTCTTCCAGCTCTTCCCCAAGAACTACGTGCGGTAGGGAACGAGCAGCGCCCTCGGCGGGGGCGAGGCACGACCGGCACTCGCAGGACTGGCTCTGGCACCGGACATTAAAGCAGATCCTTCCACCTTGTCCCTCTGCAATGTGTGATTTAAATCCTGGGGGAAACTGGCCGTTCATTCCACACAGTTGTGCCTGGAGAGCACAGCCCTCCCTGGAGGTTCTCGGGGTGAGGGGCCTGTGAGGTTTCTAAAGACAAAGTACTGCAAAGTTTAAGAATTAAACTCTTAAGAGATAAATTAAGGATGAAAACGTTCACTCTGGGAGACGGGAGGCATGTTCAGTGTGTGCTCTGAGCATCCAGTCTGAGTCCTGAAGGTGGTGTCTGCAAACCCCCATATTTTCGGGGCTGGGGAGGGCCAGGAGGGGTTGGTGCTGCTCTGGCTCCCAGGTCCGAGTCCTGCAGCCCCAAATCCCCACACAAGTCACTGCAGGGGCACAGGGTGTGGGATCACCCACAGTGGGGGAAGGGAAGGCACAGCTTTTCTAACTGCATTTAAACTCGGCATTTTTCACTTCCTGTGAAGCTCATCAGAGTAACAGTTACACAGGGGGTGGTTTTCTGCCTTCAGCTTCGGGTGCAGCACCTCAGCCCTTCCTTCCAGAGACTTTCCAGCCAGGACACTTTGCAGGTGGAGGGGTTGGAGAATGGGGCAATGCAAAGCTGGGGAGCAGCAGTTCCTGTGCCCTTTCACACCAGTTCCAGCTTGGTCTTCACCACGTGTGGTCTTCACCAGCCCCCACACCCCATGTGAAGGCAGATTGTAACTGGAGTCTCCTCTTTTTTCTGAGCAAAGCAAGGACTGGCCTAAAGCCTAAACCAGTGCCCCAGTCTGGCCCCAGTGACAGCACTCCAGCTTTGCTGCCCTCAGGCTGTTTCCTCTCCATCTCACAGGGCAATAAAAAGCGTTACAAGCTTTAAAACAGAGCTACAAGGACACACCCTCGATGTTCCCAGGAAACTGGCTTGTCTGCTCTGACTCCCAAGGAACATTCACCAAGTGCCCTCCAAGCCTCAGCCAAGTTCCTTTGATTTTTAAACCTCAAAACAACCAAGAAAAAATAAATCACTTATATTGGCTTTATTTTAGAAACATCCAAAAATAGCATGTTTTGGTTTGTTTTTTTTTTTTAAGAAAAGCTCTTGTTTGCAGTACTAATATGAATCTTCATGTAACAGTGCTCAGTGTTTTTCTAAAATACCCACTCACCCCTGAGCAGGGGGTCTCAGAGCAGTCAAGTTCTCATCTGGATCTCATTTGGATGTAGCACTGTTACACAGAGATCTGTTGCTGGTGTTTCTTTTCCCCCAGACAGCTCATCCTTTAGGACATTCAAAGACAAACCACCCAAGCTAAGACTTACTTACCTAGTTTAAGCTGGTTTTTTGTTTCTAGGGATAGATAAAATGCTCCAGAAAGGGTGTTTTGCTGATACTTCACAGTGAAAAAAGAAAGCTAATGGAGCAACCATGAGAAATCCTGCAGCCATTCCTGGAGGTAGTTTGGGCAATGCTGTTCAGGTTTTGGTTTCTGTACGTATTTTGAACTTAAAAAGATGTCAGGAAACACCACTTAGACTTTGTGGAGGTTTTGATCTTAAAGCTGTTCACCTTTAAAAAACTGAAAGATCTTGACTTTGGACCTAAATGTGGAGAGCAGAAAACATGAGCTGCATACAAGAGGCTGTGGGGGCAGTTGAGTGGCACTAAATGAGGGCAGGGTCACTACAGGGTTTATCTAAACCAGGGAGGGATGAGGGAAACTGCCAGCAGGGGAGGAGCGATGGGAAGTGATGGAGGTGCAGCAGGATCCTCACAAGAAAGGCCCTGCTCACCACAACACTTCCATCTGCACCTCCTCCTGAACCAGAATGGCTATTAAAAATCTCTCCAAGCACACTGCACTGTGCCTGGCCTGCCTGAGCTCTTCTCAAGGGACTGGTTTACACATCAGCCTCTGCTCAGGGGCTTTTCCAAGACATTCCGGGAACGTTCTGATCACATGCTGGGTCTACTCATAGCAGCACAGTCTGGTTTGTGATGGGAGGAGGAGAACAGGCTTAACAGATCAATGTGAAATGCAAACCAGCTTTGAAAGGATCCAAATCTGAGGTACAAAGCCTGTGAGAGGAGGGCTGTCCCACCTGGAACCAGGACATTAAGGGAAAAACTAAATAAAGCTGTCTGTGCTTGACCACAGGCCTCCAAGCAAAGGGTTTCCCCTGTGCTGAAAATAAAACACCGGGAATTCCATCAGTGTGGGCCTTGAAGGACTCCCAAGCTCAGCAATAAAACTGGGAAGGCCCAACAGGAGTTAGGCAGGGTGATAAGTTCAGCTATCACTCTCAGTTCAGTTTTCCTGCCCCTCTCCCTTGGGACTGGTCAGTGCAAACTTTCAGCTGTTCTTCTGGATGGAGATCCAGGACTTGGCACGTCAGGAGTGGTCCCCAGGCTCATCTCCCACCTCCAGACATGGAGGATGTTGTCGTAGAAGGAGCAAGTGGCCACGATGCTCGTCTCCTTGGGGCTGTCTGGGGACCTGGCCGAGCCCCCACTGCTGTCCAGGCCTGTTCCATTGGGGCTCCTGGCTCCAGACTCAGGGCCACTGGCTGAGCCGGGATCTGGGCCTCCAGCCAGGTCTAAACTTCCCTTTAAGGCAGAGCCCCTGCCCAGGCCAGGTTCCCCACCCAGCCTGGGAGCTGCCCCCACTCCGAATGGCACGGCCGGGCCTTCGCTCTCCTCATCCAGGATCACATCAAAAGTAGCTGTAGGAGACTCATAAATTATCTTCAGGTTTTGGACCTGCAAATTCAGCCTCTCGTCTCCTTCCTCTGCTCCCGGGAGCTCCTCCGAAGGCTGGCACATGGCAGCAGGGTCCTGTGCTGCAGGCAAGGAGTCCCTGGGACACAGCCTGGACCAGTCAGCCCCGTAGGCCAGGGAATTGTGCAGGACATAGGATGACAGGATGACACATTCCTCTGTGTTCTCCGCTTTAAAAAAGAAAATAAAACCATGAAATGAGCAGAAATCCAGTTGTGGTTTGGGGCTGCTCAGCAGCCACCCCAGCACTGGCTGTGTCCCACGGGAAGAGTTCTCTGATTATTGCCTTCTTCACCACAGGGTGAAGCGCTCCAGGAGGAAGGAGGTACTGACTCAGCCACCTCTCAAAGGCTTGGATTCTCCCTGGGCAGAAGAGGGTTTAACATGCATGAGCTTTAACAGCCTCATTATCCAAAACACCCTCAAAGGCTCAAGACAGACAGGAGTGATCACACCGTGGTCTCCACTGAGCCAGGAACACACCTGGGAGATCTCCAAGCCAGGTCCTGGTTATTAATTCATTGCAGATGTTCTTCCCATGAGCCATCAGCATTTAACTGACAGTAACTGGACATCAAGTTCCTGCCTTCCCTATACAGGAGAAATGTTACCCTCATTTCCTAAGCTGCCCAAGGTCTGAAGAAACCCAAGAAGGCTGTAAGACTGCATCTGTAATGTGAATGCAAACAGCTTTTTCATCAGGGAAATACCTCCCGATTCACACAAAGGGCTTATTCACGTTATTCTGGATTAACCAGGCTGCTTAGCACCTCCTCCCTGAGGCAATAACCCGTTCCCCAGCAGGGCAGTGACTCCTGCTGACAGGAAAGCACCACCTGACATTCAGAAGAACCTCTGTGAATCCTCACAACAAACACAAACTGGAATGGTTGTGTCAACAGGTAATCACAGAACCACAGAATATTCTCAGTTGAAGGGACCCACAAGGACCATCAAGTCCCACTCTTAAGTGAATGGTCCACACAGGGGTCAAACCTTGGTGTTACTGGCACCATGCTCTGACCAACTGAGCTCATCTCACCAAAACCAACCCGTGAAAAGGAATTATGAGGGATTTACATATGAACAGTGACAGGGCCTTTGCACAACCCAGCAGGCCAGCAGCAAGGACAGAGCTGGGAAAGCTGGAGGAGTTACCTCAAACTGGAACAAAAGTCTATGGATATCACCTAGATGCTTCTAGAAAGTCAGAGCTGGAGCTCCCCCATGAACCTGGAGGCAGGACAGGAGAGCAGCAGGGCAGCCCGGGAGTGTCTCTGCTCCCTGCACACTCACCCAGGCTCCCACGGCAGTCCAGGATCTTGAATCCACTCTGCATGCAGGCTGCCAGCAGCACGAAATCACGTGTGGGGTGCCACTTCAGCCTCCACACCCCTCCTTCCACGTGGGTGTCAGCCAGGGGCTGCTTCATGTTCCTGCTGTCCCACAGCAGCACGTGCTCGTCGTAGCTGGAGACACCACAAACAGCAACACAGAGGATTTGGGGCAACAAGCACAGGAGAAGGTTAGGACAGATCACATGGGATTCCTGGAGAGGCAGCAGCGTGTCCAGGGAACAGAGGAGGTTGGTCACACCAGGGAAGAGCAGCTGGAAGGGACTCACCTGCCCGTGGCCAGGAGGTTCTCCCGGTGGGGACTGCACTGAATGCTGCACACACCCATGGAATGTCTGCAGGAGAGGGACAGAGCAGAGGGAACAGACAGCAATGCACAGCTCGAGAAGGGATTCTCCCTTGAATTTTAAGGATTACTGCATCAAGGTGTCTCAGAAAGGAGAGGAAGGTGAGCTCAACTTCCAGTCCAGTGAACCCAAGCAGAGTTCCATCTACACAGTCCAACAGCCTCCCCAGGGCAAAACTTACCCTCTCACAGTCTCTCAGCACAAGTATTTTCTAGTAATATTTACACCACAAATTGCTGTTCAGAACCCTTAAGAATTTCAGCAGAACAACTGCATTCCCAGGAGACTTTACTCCCAACATTAATATTTCCATGGCAGCAGTGCCCAGTGTATTTTAAGGTTACATATAGAATTTCACTGGAGAGTTGTCTATATTGCTTTAATCATATTTTAAAACATGGAAAAAGAGAAAGAAAAGGGATCACTTCAAATAAGTGAACAGTGAAGAACAAAACATTTTCTAAAAAAAAATTCCATAATAAGATATCCAAATTTAACACATTAAAAAAATCCCAAAATAAGAGTAAATCCTTCTCTTAGAAAGGATGCTTCTCTTAGAAAGAAGCTACCACCACCTTCACCTGTGGAAGTCAGCAGTTATGCTGAAGGACATGGAGAAGAAAGTTTCAACCTGAAGTTGTCCTGATGGAAAAAACTAATAGATGCCTGCACTTCCCAAGGCAGGCAGAACCAGGACTCACTGGCACTGCACAGCTCTGGATTTGGCTTGGGAAGGGGCACAGTGGCACTTACCTCCTGCTGGTGAACACTGGAGCCTCTGGACTGCACCTGGTGTCCCAGCCCTTCAGCAGGCTGTCATCCCCTCCTGCCAGGGACAAAACACTGTGACCCCCAGCACCAGCCAGTGACAGCACAGAGCACTGAGACAAAGAATTCAGTCTGCAGCTTCCTCATGAGGGGCAGCTCCAACCTGTGGTCCCTGTGACAGCCCCCAGGGAATGGCTGGAGCTGTGCCAGGAAGGGTCCGGTTGGATCTCAGGCACAGGTTCTTCCACCAGAGGGTGGTTGGGCACTGACCGGGCTCCCCAGGGCAGTGGGCCCAGCCCCAAGGCTGCCCGAGCTCCAGGAGGGTTTGGATGATCCTCTGGGGCACAGGGTGGTTGTCGGGGTGTCTGTGCAGGGCAGGGGTTGGAATGGATGGGCCTTGTGGGGCCATTTCTACTCAGTGATTAAGAGCTGATGGGCCTGGGGTCTTTGAGAATGTAACAGACACACCAAAAATCACACTGCGGTTCACAACATCCATCACCACAGAAAAAATTTGCATTAACAACTCCTTACTTTGTTAAGAAAAAAAAATTAGAAGTCAAAAGGACGGGACTCAGAAAGCTCTCTGTGTCTTTGGCACACTGCCAAGAATATAACTTCTTTTGCCAAGAGCCACCCAAAGTTCAGTTTACAGGGCACAGCTTCTCCTACTTAACTCCAACTACTCCCCACCATCAAGAAGCCTTTTACCCCCAGCAGAGGCTCCAGCTCTTTCAAGGGGTGTGATGAAAGCACACCCGACCCTGGAAAGTAAAATCCCAAGGAACACACATCCCTAAACAAGATGCCCCCTCTCCAACACTCCCAAAGAAGATTCCCAGCCCACACAGACCTGAATACACGATATCGGTGTCCCAGTAATTAAAAGCAGCAATCCAGGCCTCAAATTTGTGAGCTTCCCACTGGCTCAGGACATGCACAGAAGGAGAAGATTCATCTATGGAGAAAAGGTTCAGCTTCCCCTCTGAATCACTGCTGATCACTCTCAAAGGACATCCACTACAGGGGATACAGGGAAAACATCAGGAATTACTGAATCGTGTTTGATTTGGCTGAACACTGACAGGAACTGGCAGCACAGTGGCAGGAATGACACAGTCATGATTCTTTTCAGCTTCAGCCCACCCCACCCTAAAATCAGCTGCCCCAGTGACCACCACTCCCTGATCTCACAGGGAGCCACCACTCACACCCATGGGAGGGAAGGAACCACCCTCGGCTTTGTCCTTCTCTGAGATGCAAAACTGGACTTCTCACATGCTTGAGATTACATCAGTAAACAAATTCCACGTGAAGAGTGATTTTTTTTTCCTCCAAATTGGACTGGCAAGGACCTTTCAGAGACTCTCCCCTCTTCTGGAGTACAAAGAAATGTTTTATTCCCCTGCTATCGAAGCACTGGCTGATCCTGACCTTTCCTGCTCTCTTCCTGTGCCACAGTACAGTTGCAGTTTCTGGACACAGTGACCTTGGAGCACTGGCAAAAGTTCTGCAATTCTCAGTGCACAGATTTCCTGACATTTCCTGACATGAACTAAGTCCCTTTTATTTAGTTGCTTGCAACTGCAGGTACTGCCCTGATGGCTCAGGGCTTCTTTCCAGTTCTACATGGAATGTTAGTTACACACTGAATCTCCCAAATTTCCACGTAAGAGATACAGGGTCACCCCTTTCTACAGAGAAATTATTGGTTTCTAGGAGAAAGTATTGGTCTCTCAAGTGACAAAAGTGACAGGCTTTAAAGGCACTGCAATAATCGAATGTAAGGAAGGACAAAGTCTAGCTGGGAATTCTACTTATTCATTAAACAACATGCACAGGAACAGCTTTAATTAGCAAAACCTACTAAGTATTTGCCCTAGAGCATTAAGCAATGCCTGCCTGATCCCCTCAGTTTCCAGCCTCACACCAAAGGCACCACTCTCTGTTTGCACTCACAGGACACATTTACCTCCCCTCTTTCAAGGTACAGCTAATTCAGGGTATTTCTTGCAGCGATGCCGTTTCTGAAATCTCATGTATGAGTGTTTGGGAGGAAGGAGCCACTTCCAAATCAGTTCTCTCCTGTTTCTCACACATGTTTAAACTTCCTACATGTGCTATGAGTAGCAGTTCTTAAGCAGAACTTCACATTGAAATTTCAGCTGTTCTAAAAGCAGAGTTGAAACCAGTGGATCCATCTGCATCCCATTCCAGTCTTTCCTTTTAGCAAAGGCAACAGAAGACACGTCCCTGGCTCACCTGCTGCCATTCCCCAGAGCACAACCTCACATTTGTTGCTGTTTTAGCCTCTGCTCTTGTTACAGTGGCCACAGCACATGTCCGTGTTCCTTTGTTACCCTTGCTCGGGAAACAGCAACTTCAATAGCAGGACCAGGGACACTGGGATGGAGAAAGTCAAAACCACTAAAGACTCATTCATCCAAGTCCTCAGCTTCTCCTGAAAGTTGTCCCCCACACACTGAGCCAGCTTTCACTCCCCTCCTCACCACTGCTCCCGTCCCGTGGACCAGTCCAAGGACAAGGCCAGTCGCTGTGCGCCGAGATCCACCCTGAAGCGTGGCTCCAACATGCAGCTGTTCTTCTACTGGAAACAAAAGGAATGGGTTAAGGCTGGGAAGACAGCAGGTCTGTAACAACGGGTGTACTGCTCATTCCCACTGCTTACTCTCTGTTTTCCAGAGACTGGTAAGCAGGAGGGTCCCACAGAACTGAATAATCACCCAGTACCAGCTGAGGGGCAGATATGCTCACACAGGATCCTACCCTTCTGCTGCCTAAACTCTGCTTCCTCTCAGGGAATTATGAAGTGCAGGAGAAATGACAACCTGACTGTGGGATTCCCTTACAGACTTTGCTCTCTGAGAATGGTTCTGATCACTCCCTACTCACCACAAAAGAAACCCCACTCCAACATTCCTCCTGGCTTCTAACAGCTTTGCACCTTCTGCTGTTTACCAGTTAATCCATCCCTGTTCTCGAGTGACAGTTCCAGGGTTTGTTTCTGCTCCCCTCCTGCCTCTCATCTCCCACTGTGCAGGTGGGTAGTGCCCATCCTGGCTCTCTGGTGCCATGAACAAGTTCATAGAATTTATGACAAACATCAGAAGACGAAACAGGTGTTTAAAAAGGTAAGCAGACTGAGAAAGCCATGGAAACCATCCAGCTTTCCTGCACACTGCTAGTAAATATAGGAATGTATCAAATCTGGGCTAACACCAGCTACAGCAGCAGCAGGCGTTGCAGCCACCCACCTCACTTCCAGTCAGGTGGCAAAACTCCACGGCGCCTGTGGAGTTTGCAATGCCAACCATGGGATGTTCTGCAACGGGAACGTGGCACCTGAAAGACCAAATGAAAGTGATGAATGTCCACAGTTCTTCTATTTTAGGAGGAGAGCAGAGTCATAACTTTTATTCCAAGATGCACAAGGAGAAGGTACGTGACCAAAAAGATCTCATGTTAAGAAAATCTAAGGCTCCTCACGTTACCACAAGCCTGTGTGGAGGGGATTAGATGTAGGGGAGATGTACTATATGCCATTATATAAAAAAATGAGGTACAAAATCACTGACCAGCTGCTCAACAAACGAGCAGAAGGTGCAACACAGCAATGAGGCACTCTTTGCTCACTGGAACAAACGAGAAAGTATTTCCCTCCAGCAAGTCAGGAACCATTTGGGTGGTAAATATTACTGCTGCTGCCATGCTAAGAGCCAAGAGAGATTCCCTTGGAGCCCCTGCTGTGCACCAGGCCTGGCTGGGCCAGGATGTCCAGGGTGGCACCAGCCCCGGCCCGTCCAGCATTACCATTTGATGTCCAGGACAGCGGCCGTGTCGATGCGCTGGATTTCGGTCAGTGGGATGTAGGGCTGCTCCTCGTTGTAGTGGTACAGGTAGAGGCGCCCGGTGCGGTCACAGGCCCCATTAGAGCTGCCTCGGGAATCGCTCTGTGCCAAACATGGGGAAGAACAGGGCGGGATTAGCCGTTCCTGCCGTTCTCCCGCGAGGAGAGGCGAGGAGGAGCTGGGCTGAGGCTCTCGCTTTATCCCTTGAGAGATAAAAGCCACGCAGCCCTGTCGGGGCCGGAGGGGCCCGCTCAGCCCCACCTCGAGCCACCCCGGCGGGACAAGGCACTGACCGGGCGCGGGGACCCGCAGCACCGGGATCGGGACCGGGACCAGGACCGGGGCTGGTCGGGGACAGGAGCTCACCCCGGAGCGGGGCCAGTTGGGGATGGGGGCTCTGCCCGGGGCCGGGCGGGGATGGGGATGGGGCTCTCCCCGGGGCGGTGCCGGGCGGACAGGGCCGGGGATGGGGCTCTCCCCGGGGCGGTGCCGGGCTCACCTCTGCGGGCGGGCGCAGGTGGTAGGTGCCGCAGGCCAGGATGCTGTGCCAGCCCTCCACCGGGCACCACTCCACGGCGTCCGCGCTGAACTCCGTGTCCACCACCTGCAGCGTGCGCGTCCGGCACGGCCCGGCCATGGCGGGCCGGCACCTCCGGGGCGGCACCGCCCGTCTGCTTCCCGGTCAGGGCGGGCCCGGGGCGGGGCTGCCCCGCAGAGCCGCCCCTTCTTCCTCAGAGCCGCCCCTCCTTCCTCAGAGCCGCCCCTCCTTCCTCAGAGCCGCCCCTCCTTCCTCAGAGCCGCCCCTTCTTCCTCAGAGCCGCCCCTTCTTCCTCAGAGCCGCCCCTTCCTCCTCAGAGCCGCCCCTTCCTCCTCAGAGCCGCCCTTTGCCCGGGGGACACCGCCCAGCCCGGCCGGCTCCACGGGCACACCCTGGGGTCCCTGCAGGTTTTGTCCCCGCTCCCTCCCAACGCGCCTCCCCCAGGGAAGGGGATGCAGCTCAAGCCCCCGCCGGTGCGGGATCGCTGTTGGGAACGCGGCAGCTGCTCACGAGAGAGAACCATCACCAGCCTTCCCTCGGCATCCTCCCCGTGCATCCCAGAGACCTTCCCCAGCCCCCGGCACTCCCCGGCTGCAGAGCAGACACATCGCTGTGCCCTCGCAGCAGCTGCTCCGGAGCACGGAGGGATCGCACCCCCTGCCCCGAGCCTTTCCCCGAGCCTTTCCCCCCACTCCTCTCCCAGACGGAGGATGGGTCCTGCACGCTCGGGATGCAGCACACCCCGCAATTCACACCCGCGCTGGGCTCTGCTCCCCCGTCCTCCCCTGGAGCCTGGATTGCTGCTGCTCCCCAGGAAGAAATTCCCGCAGGAGTGTTTCCCAACCCAGAGGTGTCATTGCTGAGTGACAACAGCCAAGGCCTTTCCTTTTGGTGTTTTCCCATAACCAACACTGCATTTATTGACGCTGAATTTCATCTGCCAGTCTGCCTCATAACATCCTTCTGCAATTCTTCACTCAGCCTTTATTATGTTATGACACCGAAAAGCTTCCTCAGTGGATGTTGTCACCTTCCTCACTCATTACTTTTCCCAATTATTTTTTAATATATTGGGCATCCAACTGTTCACTTCCCTCCACTAAAAAACCCCTTCCTTCAACTATTCCTTTCCCATCTTTTAAACAGTTGTTTGTCCATATGTCATTCCCCCTTTTCCATCAGCAGGTTTTTTTCCCTCAAGTGCCTTGAGCAAAGTCAGGATTAAGTGCATTTTGGAAGTTCAAGCAGACTTGTAATACTCAAATCCCCTTTTCCCTGCTCGTTGATACTACTGAAACAATTCCAGCAGAGTTTTGAAGCACAACCTCCCTGTACAAAACCCACCCAATATTCAGCCATTGGTGCTACATCACATCTAGGAACTCGCTAAGTGCAGGTGGCTGGAGTTTGAAACCCCTTCCAGGAGCTGCTGTGCCCTTTGCTGTGACATTGTGCCAAGGGACAGGTCACCAGCCCAGCTGGGAGCTCAGTTTACTCACCCCTGAGCTCCCCCAGAGCCGCAGGTGGCACCGGCTGGTCCTGGCAACTTGTTACTGCTCATTTCAGCTGAACTTTAATCTCTTCCCAAAGCACTTCTGTTCTGAACAGATTCTCTGTGGAGTTCTCCATATGGAAGTATTCCTGTGTGAACTCCCCCAGCTCTCTCACAGGGAAACATTTGCAAACGATTCACTGATTTCCTTCCCTGAGACTTTCATCTCCAGGTCAGCCCTGGCCTTTACTGTGCATCACATCTGACTCCAGCAGTGCCCCTGCCCCTGATTTTTTCAAAACTATACATGCAAGTTTTATGACTTGAATGTTCTTTGTATTCCACTTTTCTTTGCATTATTTTGGGGTTTTTTTTCTCTTTTTCCACATTTTACCTGCCAAGTCTTATTTCCATCTTTTTCATTTGAACATATGCTCAATTTATAAAGGATTTCTTCTTACTGAGTAAAAAGTTGCTGTTTAATCACACCAACCTCTTTTTGTCCCCTCAGTGCTGTTTTGCAGGGTGGTGAAGCTTTGCTCCTGGCCCCTCTGTGGTGTCTCACACCATCTCCATGCCCCCCACAAGCATTTAAGTCTCTCAGCTGCTCCTTTTACCTTCACCAGTTTCACTTAAATCACAGAGAAAAACCTGAGACAGTAACCCAGTGGGTGTATTCAAGGTTCAAATAGCAGAAGGCAAACAATACATTATAATTTTGTGTCCCTTAAGCCAGCCAGGATTTTCCATTGTGACTTCTGAATGTTTGGAATTGGCAACACCACCCTACTTGGATAAGGAGCCCTGGGGGGTACCTGTACCAACATTTCATGGTGTGCTTACCAGGGGTTTGCACCCCTCTGTTACAGCCAGCACCAGGAATGCTGCATCCTCCCAGCCTGAGCTGGATTTACCAGATTTTCCTGCAGGAAACATCTTGGATGAAGAATCTCCATCAGGAGCAAGTCCTTGGAAAGTCATCTTTATCAGAAGTGCCCAGGCCTGCTCCCAGATACAACCACATACCCCAACCTGAGCTTTTTAAATACTTGCCCTGTCAGCCTGGATTCTCTGAGGGAAAGGAGGTCCTTTACAGGAGCTCCATCCTCTGAAAAAACAGAGTTAGGAAGTGGAGCTGCCACACTCAAGTCTCTTTTTGACCCTCCTTACAGAGGGTCAAAGATCTGCCACAATCATTGATCACACACCTTCCCACTCCCATCAGGGACCCGCTGTGCAGGCAGGGACATCCTTATTGCAGTCCCCAGGTCTTTTCCAAGAGTCAAAATCCCTGTGGCCACTTCCCTGCTCTGGCACAAGGACGGTCTGGAGTCAAACATCACACACTGAGGTCAGAACCTGTGTTATTTCACTCTGCAGGATGTTTGGGCAATTGTTTCTTTCCTCTGGGATGTTCACAGCCCTCTAACCCCGTGGGCATCTTCCCTCCCCACCTGCCTCACCCCACCCTCCCAACCCCTTTCCTCCCACATTGCTGGGATCAGGATTCCCCAAGCCCCACCATCCTGGCTGTGAAGATTCTTTGAGCCCAACCCTTTGAGTCCCATCCCTTCCTTCATTCCCTCCTTTCCCCCCTGCCCCACCAGGCCTTGCTCTGCAGCCTGTCCTCATCCTCACTGCAGCCACATCACAAACATCAGCACTAACTTTTCCCTGCTCAAAGTGTTTGAAGACTGCACTTCATTTTACTAAACATGATGCCTGGTAATAAAATGGAAAATTGGCAGGACAAATAGCAGCCTTTTAAACAGGCAAGGAAAAGAAAAAAAAGGCAACACTTCTGCCCTTTTCAATGGATTGCCTCATATAAAAAAATATTCCTTATGTCTCATTGTATATTCAGCAAAACAGTTCATTTAAAGCAAAGAACTGAATGTTTCCTTAAAAACAAAAAATCACCCATTACAGGAAAATTTGAGTAGGTCCTGCTTGACTTCTTCATAATGAAGGGCATTTTGGGCTTCCTGAACAGAAAAATTACAGTACAACCATGATTTAAGAGTGGCAACTTGACCAAGTGCCTGAAAGTGAACTTCCAGCAGGAAGTTTCAGGAGTTCTTTGTTATTTCCTAAGAAACTTAAAGCCAAAGAATGAAAACCCACCCAAATGTTAATAATTCAGAACTTCCTGTGCAGATATTAGAAACAGAATGTAATATTGGAAGTCCACAGCAGTTCAATTTTCTAACAAATTGAATACAAGCAAGACCAACACTGCAACATGAAGTAGCAAAGTGAATCCTGATTGAAAAATGGAAATTCTAAACGGCTTTTACAAAAAAACTTTCACCAAGCACTCCAAGAAAGGCTCTGCATTAAGCACTCAGCAGTTCACATTCTTCTACTGTGAAGCAAGACTAACACCTGGCACTAAATTACCCATTTAGTTCTTCAGAAAATTCAGTTGATGGTCCTTATATTTCTAAGGCAAAAATGAAAAAGAAAAAAGCTTTCAGATAAGTCATGAAAAGAAAAATAGGCATGTGCTCTGCAAGGGAAATCCTCCTCCCAGACTATTTGTACTCATTAACACATTAAAAACAAAAAATATCAAAAAGTGATTCTTGGACTGATGACAACTCTTTAAAAAAAAATTAATAAATAACTCAAATTATTAAATAGTAGTTCATTGAAACATCTCTGCACATGACTGGAGTATCTGCTGTGCTCACAGGGAAGCCACGAGGGCACCACATCCCCACCCAGCTGCTGCCTGAGCTTCCCCACAGCTGCTTCAGGTACAAAGGTTTGGGAACAGAAAGCTGATGGAGCTTTCCAAATCCTGGCTGCTCCAAGGCCCATCTCCAGCAGCCCCTCTGAGGCTGCAGCTGCCTGAACACACATCCCAGATGGTCCCTACACCCCACACCAGCTCCTGGGGCACTGCTTCCCACCCAGCAGGGAATTCCAGCATCCAGGTGTGACTGTGCTCCGCCAGCAGCTGGAAGGGAACGGGAGAAAGCCAGAGAGCAGACAAGGATTCATTCCAACCTTTACTTTGTTTGCTCTTTTTTTTGTTTGGGTTTTTTTTTTTTTCCAATAGAACTTCCATGCAGAGTTCTCCAGAGTAAGTGCTGACGCCGGGTCTGCCCGCCGGCCCTGGCACTGCCACAGACACTTCTGCCACATGGGAGGAAAAAGCTTTTGCTACATGACTTTTTTTCTTTTTTTTTTTCTTTTTTTAAACTTTTAGGCCAACAACATGTTCTCCTCTGAACATTACAGTTAATGAGTGCTATCAAGAATTCCTAACAAAAACTGTACATGAGTTTACAAACGTATTAACATATAAATAATGAGAAGCTTCCTGCCTGGAGCCTCCACAGTAGTCTTTTTGCTTGAGAATATAATACTGGAAGGGCAGAGCCAATCCCTTTCCACAGCACCAGTCAGAGCTGGCTTAGTCCAGTCAGCCATTCTGCTCAAGCATCACAGGGTTTGTCTTCAGTGCCTCTGGCTTGGGTAAGCAGTCTGTCACACTGTGCAAAAGCAAGAGCCCAATGCCTCTGGGGAGGAATCCTGCTGCTGAGAGGCCTCTGCCACCCGGTCACCGCTCCGGGCCGAGCTCCTGCTGGAAGGTCCTTTTCTTCTCCCGACAGTGTTTCTTGT